ATTAGTTTCTGGTTTTTTAAGAATAATAGTATATATGCATCTTTTCTGAGTGTAAAAACATGGTCGTGGATCATAATTTCCTCGAAGGCTTAAATGGGTGAAGATATATTATTTTGAAGTGAAGAAGTGGTTTTCCTTTAGCTGAAGTCTCAAAAAAGGGTATAACGGGGGAGATCTGCAACTAACTGTGCATTAGATGATGGAGTTCTTTCCCGACAGTCGGCATGTGGAGCGTTTTTGAGTAGTTTTCTCTTGTACATTGTCAGTCACATTCATGTCTAAGAAGTCGAATGCACAGTATCCAAGGGAGTGTGGAATACATATTTTCCAAGGGTGAGCTTGGTCTTTTTATTCGTGAAAGTTTATTTAAGAAACCTGCTAGTTTCCTAGAGAAGACATGGTCTAAGAGAACTTCAGGCATTTAACTGGCCGCATACTGTTATCTTAATGTTGTTATTTTTACTGGTTTTCTCGTACATGAGTTTCACTCAAACTTGAACATGTTTGGTCACAAATTTGACTTTTATTTTTGTTTTCCACCACGTTTTGGTTCAGAACATGGCTTGATAACTCTTAATTTATGAAGAAATTCTGATACTTGAGTGAGAATTTGGTTTTCTAGCTGTTTTTGTTTAAATTCGCTTTAATGTCAATCGACCGTCCTTCAAGATGTGACAATCAATACAGAATATTTTACCATTGGACCATCTTATACGTATTTATTATGTGTGATGTCGTGGTGCATTGAGGAACTCAATATTAAATTGCACTCATCATTATTGACATCAGAAGAGAGCGCTGAGCACAAATATCGGTATCTAATTTCTCAGAATTTATTGATGTTTGGTGATGTGATGCTTCGATACAGCAAACCGGATCTCAGGTTCACTAAAATCAAATTTTAGGAGTTTGGACGTGCATAAGTGTGCATCCATGAGTTTTGTGAAGAAACCATTACGTTTTACCGCGTATGTAACTGAACAGAAAATATGGCTCATATTCACATTCCATTCACAATGCAGATCACTAACGTAGATGAACCGTGTCGAATGGTCGGGAGATTGCTCGAGTTAGACGCAAATGGAGTGACGAACCGGGTAACTCAGAAGCCACACACCTAAAGTAGATCACCATTCGGTTATGTCAAAGTACTATGGCAGCTTTGAAGTCTGTATAATACAATGGACGCAATTACAGACATATATTAGTAAGAGTGAGTGCATAGAAAATAGTGCGACCCTCATCGCATAGGCCAGTCCATGGCGTGCGATTAATCGATATGGCGGTCTATGACCTTGACGAGGACATGTGAACTGATAGACATCCATAGATCCGACTGATTATGATTTAGTTCAGGCTCCGTGACACCTCACTGGCCAAACAAATTTACTTATATTTCATACACATAGTTCCATTTATCATTTTGAAAAGAGCAAAAACAAACATTTGAGCACAATAGCATGAATTCATTTTTATTTCGTTGGTTCTCGTCAGCTGCTTACAACCTGTGATATTTAAAATCATAATTAATGGGGTTAAATTACTTACATAAAAGAGTTTGATTGGAAGTTATATTAAAGACGTATTCATATAGTATAGCAAGGGTGTAAGTAAATTTACTCGACTGAATATTGTAAATATATACCTTATGTGATGAAAGAACATTGTGACAACAGTTCAAACGGTTAGAAACAAATAAACCTTGGTAGGAATAAAATGAGTAGAGTTCAGTTGATAAAATAAGATAGTTGGAATAAAACTCAATGGTGTAATAAATGCAAGAACGAGTTTAAGGAAAGAGAAAAAACAAATTATTAAGATATAACGAAGGAATGTTAATCACCAAGGCAATGAAAGATTAATAACCATCTCCTTTTGAACACATAAATCAGGCTTTTGACGCCTGATAGCAACTGCTTCAGTAAACTTCAGAAGACTGGAGTTTGGCTGCTTACTAATCACCTTGAATGATTGTAGGGTATCGACCTGATGTCCTGTATCAAGATGTTTGGTGATTGCACTATTTAGAGTCTTTCTTTCTCTTGTTCTGAGGCTTTTTGGGACATGTTCAAAAAATCTGAGATATGCCCTCCTTTCTGTTCGGTCAATGTAGCTGCTTTGGCAGGTACACGTTAATTTATAAATACAATTGGCGGTAACATGAAAAGGATGTTTGTCAACTTTTGATTGAGTTATTAGGCATGTTGTTTTATACAGAATTTGAAGTTTGGCCGCCGGATAAGTTCTGGCTAGCTCAGTATTCAGTCTCCTGTTGATTGTGTTTGCAACCTCGTCACCTTTGAAGTTAAGACTTATAGTTATTGGTTTTTTATTGACAGTAATTACTTCAGTATTGTTTTCTTTACGCTTCTTATACTTGTCAATAAACTTTTGTGGGTAAAAGTTGTCTCGCAGGCATTTTTCCACTTTCATCGATTCTTCTTCGAGTTTGTCAGTGGTACATATCTTTTCTGCCCTATAAAGTAGTGTTTTAACTAATGCCTTCTTGTAACTGAGTGGACAAAAGCTATTGAAATTCAGGTAAATGCCATTCCAAGTACTTTTTCGATAAATCAAACGTTGGGCGATCCCGTCTCTCCTACGTTTTATAGCAACATCAAGAAAGTGGAACATGTCATTCTGTTCGTGTTCCATAGTAAATTGTGTGTTAGGATGAGCGTTATTGAAGTGTTTTAGCACGCGGATTGCATGCTGTTTATTGTTACAGACAATAAACGTGTCATCAACATATCTGGAGATGGTTAATAATCTTTCATTGCCTTGGTGATTAACATTCCTTCGTTATATCTTAATAATTTGTTTTTTCTCTTTCCTTAAACTCGTTCTTGCATTTATTACACCATTGAGTTTTATTCCAACTTTCTTATTTTATCAACTGAACTCTACTCATTTTATTCCTACCAAGGTTTATTTGTTTCTAACCGTTTGAACTGTTGTCACAATGTTCTTTCATCACATAAGGTATATATTTACAATATTCAGTCGAGTAAATTTACTTACACCCTTGCTATACTATATGAATACGTCTTTAATATAACTTCCAATCAAACTCTTTTATGTAAGTAATTTAACCCCATTAATTATGATTTTAAATATCACAGGTTGTAAGCAGCTGACGAGAACCAACGAAATAAAAATGAATTCATGCTATTCAGCTCGAATTTTCGTTCTTACTTCACCTAAATTTTTTCTTGGAGTTCGTTAGGATAATAAACTGGTACCTAATTTTTTTATAAATATTTCAATGTCTACGACTTTGAAACACATTAGGATTGAACAATAATATGTGTGCAGCACATGGATATCAAAGGAGATCTGTGGAGATTGCACAATAGGTAATAAAATTGTGAATAGAGAAAGAGTAATTTATACTTGCAGTAGTCTAGAGTGAGAGAAATCATATTCTGTGCAAAGGGGAGGATATATGCAGGTAAACTGATAAACAGAAATAAAGCATCGATTAGTCATCATCTCCTGAGAACGCTAGTACGAAACGTCAGTATAACACTGTGTTTAATTTTTTAGATAAAAGTATTCAGATGTTCGATGTTCGTTGGTCGGCATACTTTCAGCTTAAGGCATCTGTGGGGCGGGGGGCACAACTCAGCTCCCATCTGAAGTGGAAATTAGAAAAAGGCGTTAGGGTTGGATAAGACATACATCGAGTAAATCATCAAACTACATTATGAGGCAAGAGCTAACCTGAGAGCCTGAAGGGGATCGAAGGAGAGGTAGGTCAAAGAACACATTGCGTTGGGAATCGGAAGTAGACATAAAAAGTTTGAATAGCAACTAGAAAGGACTTTCGAGGACAGTTATGTGGCGAATGCTGGTGAGTGGCATACTCTACTTCACTAAAGGTAACAGCCATAAGTAGATGGAAATATATAAGTACGTGTCATCGGATATGATCAACATTTATTAGGGGTTCTTTTGAACCGCATGTTTCTCAAAATTTTGCCTCGAGGTTATCGCTGAGCAAGTGTGCTGCTAGAAAGTTTCTCAAACTGTACAACATTTTGCAGTTTACTTTCGACACGTACCATGTTTTTACGCGTAACCGCGTATCTGCAAACCCAGTCCTACGGAATTCCTCGAAATTCTTTTCAAGTAACCTATCTTTTTAATCACACACATCTTTAACGGTTGACATTCACCTTCAGGATGAGTTATCATTCGCAACCAAGCTACTTTGAAACAAGTAGTTTAGAGCAGGTAATGAAGCCTTGCTGTTGATACACCTATTGAAATAGAACTTCTAATCACATATGAGTATTATATTTTCAAACTCCTCGATCCGTCACACAACATTATTCATCCAAGTGTTTGAGCAAACGTCAAGCCCATTGCAAAACAATCCTTCTGTCTTCGTAAGAACAAATATGTGAGAGTGCGAGCGATAAACTCTTTAAGCTAGTTTTGGTCGTGTCTCTCTTGACCTTGTGGGTTGATAAAATAACCGAATAGACGTTCTTCTCTCCTAAGATGTATTATTCGTTTCATAACATGGCTAAAAGCAGCACCTATCAAGGACATTACTACTGAAATAGTCACGATCCCCTTCATTCAACGCTGGATTTCGAATCCTGGTTGTACAAAATTCAACACGATAGACCATGGACTGAACGACACCACGCTCCTAGGAATCATCCGATCCTGAAAGACTACTTGTAACCAATTAGTCAGCGACATAGTAGAGCGACTCCAGAGGTAGTTGAAACCGCCCTCTTCGGAAGTCCATGTTTTGCTTATACGTCAAAATCAGCTTAGGCGCAGAGACAATCTGTTTTAAATATACATGTAGGATCGTTAGGGCAAAGCTCCTATTGTTGGAAAGTATTTGGAACCTTAGCCCTCAGTTTATTAGTTTTTCATACATACAGTTTTCAGAATAGAAATATGCACTGTTGATGAGTTATTTCTCCAAGAATTTGATGATTCTTTTCCTTGAGTAAGACAGTATTCAACATTACTGTTTTGTATTGTAAAGGTCGATTTCTTTCTTCAAGGTCGTTGATCACCTGTTCAACGATGACATTTTTGAGTGTTCCGCTAAAATTGTCTACTGAAGTTGACGTGATAACACCACTAAAAAAGTTCATAACTGGAAAGTTTGGGGATGCTGTTGCTACGCAATGTACCGAATCCCTAAAAAAGCTCAGTGTGTTTCGCCACGATGCCTGTTTTGGACATAGTGATGATCTAGGCAGTCGAATCCAGTCACTTGCATTGTGAGTTTTCAGTTAATTTGTTCTCGTCTTTTTTGTGTAATTTGGCTTGTATAACAGTGGTTTCTACGTTTTGATCAACATGTTTGATATGTCACTATTGCGTGCATTCCCATTCTGAACTGTAAACTCTGATGTGGTTAGAACGTTTATTGTCATATTGACATACATCTATTCGTCTTCGTTTATATTCATCATTTATACAGATATCATAATGTATTATGGAGTTTAGAAAAACGACTTAATACGTCAGAAGATCTAGGTATCCATTGGAGCTGGAGTGATATATGGCACAAAAATTATTCAAGTAAATTTGTCGCTTCTCTGAATTGTTGTAACATTTCTTTTAGAACACTACTCCTTTAACTTCGAGCACGTGAATATAATCTTTTGCTATGCTGCAGCTCATTCCAATTTGGCTAAAACATACGATTTAAACTGTGAAAACTCTTTAATGAAGGCTATTTCAAGCTACAAGGTAGGTCGTTGAAGTTTACTAGATACATTTAGTTACTCCTTGTTTGTTTATGTGCACATAGCTCATCCATATTTATGATTTTTACTGAGTATCTTTTTGTGCTAATCATTGACACATACACAAGGAAGTCGAATGAAATGTGTATTAAGTTTATCAAACATTTTAAAAGAACGTCTTCCGTAAAATCACGTATATCAGGAAACACATAATTCGCTCATCATATTTTGTTGTCCTTATGCATGATGGATATTCATACAAAAATACTGTAATGACTCCCATCAGTGAGAAGTGAGCAACAAGAAGTGTTTCGTATGAGTGACTTTGTTTTATGGTTTGTGTTTAGTTTACTTTTGAAACAACTGACTACAGGTATGTGTAACCTTACAGCGCTCATTAAACTGATTTTGTGGAGATTTTGACTACTTGTTTTACCATATTATTATGTATGGGATGATATATTTTACTAAAAAGTTAGATGCAGTGTTTCATATTTTGTGTTTAGGATTTTTCACTGTAATGGAAAACAATTGACGAGTGGCAGGATTAGATTTTCCGAAGTGGCTTACACTAAGTCACGAAACGTCAAAAAATCTAATTTTTCTACTCATTGGGATATTACAAATATATTATTTATTTATAACAATCTACCCAATGCTCAATTTATTCGAAATTATCAGATCAAACCTTGGTAGTGATACCTACAAACTCATAAACATTATGTTTTCACCTGTCAATTAGGAGGTTAAAGGGTGATAGAGGAGGTTTAGTCCTCATGTGCTAGGAAATTTCAAGTTTTTACATTCAGTACGTAACATGTTAGAAAAGCTGTTTACAGTATCAAGCAACATAATTGAAAATTGGTATCGTTTTCCTTGTATCCGATCTTTTTTTCCTAGCTCTTAAATTTCGATTTTTGTTTTTGTTGTTTTGTGCCAACCGGAACACTGAGCTTTTTCATCAATGAATGTGAATTAATCTAACTTCATTTTTTTCACAAGCATTTCATTCTGTCATTTCGTTTATATCAGTACATTTAGAAAATATAAACTACATTTCTAGGTAGCAGCTGAGGCATTCGATTACCTTGCATCACATACGGAGCAACCCTCTAATGATATGACTCAAGAGGTACTGTCTGTATTCAGCGATGTTATGATTGCACAAGCGAATGAATGCAACTTTCTTCGACTTCGAAACGGTAATCAGTTTGCTCATGTTTCTCTTTGCAAAAAATTTAAAAATTTCCTGAGAACTTTTGTAGGAAAATCTTGCAATCGGATAGTATGTCTAAAATCAGTATGATAAACAAAATGTATCTTGTTTTTTTCCGTCTTGTAATCATATGACTACAATATTTTCAGGTGGTGTCTTAATTTTAACGGCGCTCATTTTGTCCTACGTTCCTAAATTTAACACAGTTTCTATAAATAATGAAAATGTCACCGCAAACCCGACAAATAAACTTAGTAGTGTAGAATTTCCGACCTAATCGCGCTACAAAATCATTCATTCGACAAAGAGTAGCTAACCTCGTAGATTATCTGTTTGCTTACCTTGTGTAGTCATTCAGTCGTTCATAATTCGTCACTTAACGTCGAGTTTTCTATTAGAACTATTGTGAGTAAATAGTGATCACAGTTTCAACTTAGCAATCACTTATAGGTTGAATCACTAATTATTTTCAATCAGTGACACATTATTTTTTGTACGTCAGAGCCTGACCGTCACTGATTTCGGAATACATAGGTTTTTATTCACATATCTAGTTTAAATCCATCGCAAATTTCACATCGCTGCTAACAAATTTTGAAAGCAGTTGACTAGTAGTGGTTTGCATAATATAACTTAACAATTTTGCATATCTTAGGGGAACTGTTCGTAATACCGAATAAATCGTGAGTTAAAATATCATTCCATTTACGTTTGTAACAAAATGAACATGCTTTGTCCCATTATTCTGATGTGTGATATTTCAGTGGTTAAATGATTTAAAGTTCAACCATTACTTCCCAGGCTCAAATCCGTCCTACGTCATGACTCGGGTAACTGGTTGTCATCACTAGCCGTTACACAGTATGTAGCTCGAAGCCGAGTAAATAATTGTGCACTAGACAAATGATCTGTACTATTTATTCCTGTAGTTTTCAAAAGTATTAAAATAACTCCTGACAGTTTCTGCCACACTAACGTGGTGGTCGGGCTTGCCTATTCTGGTGAACCAATCGGGCTATGCTGGCTGGAACAATCGTTGCTCAAGGTACTATCATGCCAGACAGATCGGTTGAAGAACGTTAAAACTAAAAATGGAGAACCCAAGGTCAGAGGGCGAAGCCGTATTGCTGACTGTACAGAAGTGTAACGGCAGTAAAGTATTTCCTTCAGACAACCAGCGTAAAGACGATACTGTCTCCCCACAAGGAAGGGTGAGGTTATAAAAGGTCGACTCTAAAAGTGCACACCTCGCCTTATCCCACGGATATCCATCTTCGGCGGTAAGGTCTCAACAAGTACGGAGCCAGCACGAAAATGACCCACAAAAAGGTCGTGTGTGACTGGCCTTAATGCGTTATCTGTTTGGCACTGCGTTCACACTCTCAGGTCACTGAGGCCAACTATAACGCAATTTCATTTTCAGGTCTTTTCAGAAGAACCATTCGACGGTGTAGGCAGCTGAGAAGTGATAACTGCCCTCATACCTCTAACAACACTCAAGACCACTGACTGATTATAAGAACTAAATATCTACGTCAAATAAAACTTCATAAATAATTATTTGTCATTTAGTGCTTTTCTGTATCATCGTGCATAATAATTAATTATCCATAAAAGCATATATACGGAAAAGTTGGGTGGGAATCAACAGTTGGGATCATTCTTGATTAAAGTCGCTAATTAAAATGACGGCTCATTGTTCGATCCAACATTATTAGGAATATTCAAGTTATGTATCCACTCTCTTAGGTCTATTAGTCTATAATATTCATTGGGTTTCATTTTAATGTTTACTTATAACATGATTTTCTTTGATATAGGCATCCTTAAATATTAGTCTCCTGTACACCTGCAGGAACACTAATTCATCCTGTCTACTATCATATTCCTCGTTTTCTGAACTCTCTTAATTCATTTACTACTCTTTTCTTTCCATTTTCATGGACCTAGTGTTATAGTATTGTTATAACTGATTTCAGAAAGGGGTACACTTAATTAAAATTTCGGTCTGTAATTGTTCTAACATGATGATCCTTCTTCAGCTTAATGTAAACTAATCGAGAAGTTGGAGATTGTCTTTTCTTTAATTGTACTATGATTATAAGTGAATATATTTCTAAAGAAATGTCACTCGATTGTGTTTCGACAATATGTCCCTCTAGGGAAGATAAATGCTCCCGAACTGCATTTATGCTTTCTATAGCTTTCACATTAGACTGACGGGAGATAGTATCGAATACGACATTTAGAATAGATTAGTTCTCAATGTTTCATAGTTTTCAAGCCTATTCTTTCATCATAACTAGTATTTTTTTATACAAAACGCGTCCTAATATCTGTAAAAGTAGTATATGTTTAAGAAAGCAAACTATTCACTGATCTCTTATTATTTCTTTTGAACTCCACTTAAGATGAACCTGAATATCGACGTATTGTCAACCATATCAATAAATTATATAAGAAGTGTTTGGATTCATTTTCCATGATTTCCAGTTGTCTTCAAGATGAAGATATCATTAAATCTGTACCAGAGGTACGTTTATTCATTTTTTTTACACTATTATTATTTATTTAGGACTGGTATCGTGTTATTAAAACTAAACAGAATTATTACAGCATTTTGGCTAACACTTATTTGGGCGAAGAGAAGCTAAGGCGTAAAAAGGACACCAAGGTAATAATTTCGATGAATTGTGTTGTTAAAAAATGAAGCAGCAAGTTTCTGAAGTTTTTAATATTAGTATTCTTGTTTATTTTGAAGTCATAAATAATTACAAACTTTTATTTTTTGCTGTTAGTATTGACTTTTAAAAATTTAGTATGAAATTGTTTGCTTTTAAAGTTTGTAAGTAAAAATAAATAATTATTTAAAGTTGTTTCCACTTCAGGAATATACTACCTTAAAACACTACTTGGGCTCTAGTGTTCAGACGGAAATTAGTGATTTTTTTCTGTTCAAAAACTTCATAGTCATCTTTCTGTTTATTTATCCCTCTAGAACGTGGTCTTCAAAGGATGGGAACATGCATAAGTTTTTAGTGTTCGGTCGTTGATGCCTTTCGAGTGTTGGATTGGAGACACTGACTTAGTAGTGTTAAAGTTAGGCTTAGAGTACAAGATAAGGATGACAAATAGTTTGATGAGGCTGTGAATGTTCATTGACCGAGGTGATTAGAACATACTTTACCCATTCCTAGCCTCCCTCCATATAGACACGAATCTTAACTGGAGTTTAAGTAGGTCAAAAGAAATACAGGGGCCATCAAACTAAAACAGATTATTAGTCTGTTCAGTCAGTATCCGTTGACTTGAATCATGTCGGGAGGTGTAAACTTCTTGCTTTGGATTTGTAAAATCATCGTAATCCATGGTTAGAGACTTTGAATGAAATACTTAGAAGTAGTGCTAATGTATTAAATCTTCATCATCCTCTAAAGTTTTAATTATAATTTGATTTCGTACATATTGTTCCTTCCCGTGGCAGTAAAGGTAGTAGTAGTATTTGGTGATAGAAAAAATTAAGCACCCAAAATACAATCCTGGAAAAAAAAATAAACTAGCGAAATAAAAAAAAGTTATAAGGACTTCAGAAGCTTGGAATCTGGGGGAAGATCAATAATGGATGTAACTGCATCATTGCAAACGATTTTGAGCCACGTCATTCAAAGACTACGATAATCACGCGGATCTCAGTCTAGTAGTCTATACATACTATAACATGGCTTAGTCCACTTGTCAATAACTCCATAGACTGGCGCCATTTTTTGTTCGGATACCCCTAACTTCCTTCTGGCCTACTCCCACACCATACATCGCCAGTGGAGGCAGGCTGTGGTTGATCATCTTTAACCTATATCCTAACTACCCCAGTTAGTGAAGATTTACTATCTCGCCAATCGATTTGCCTCTCGCGACTCATCCACAATCAGTTTCTTTTTGTTATGAATTGGTTCAGATATGGTAAACGTATCGTTAAATATCAGTTTGCTGAATACATTAAATAAGTAATTCAGTATCAAGTATCGATTATTTACCTTGAAGACTTGTTAGCACCGAAGCTTTGTTCAAGTGTTGCACCGTACTTTGTCGAATACCATATCGATTTTACACTTAGTATGGATGTCTTTATTCACTGGGCCTGCCTAGTGTATAATCTGATTTCAAAATAGCTATCGTTAAAGCTTTTTAAAAATTTTACATTTACATTTATTTCTGCTCAACAGGAATCTAGCACACTCCTAGTCTCTAAATTCACACGTAGTCTTTCATCTCGTCGTTGGTCTGAAACGTTTCAAACTGTTAACGAGAGTGAAATACTTGGTGAATCTCAACCTGCTTCTGTCTTAGCAAACTATATTATAACAAAAGAAATGTTTCAAATACCCTTACTTCCTTGTGATTCAGGCGATATCTTTGACATGTTGGTCCCGTTTCCCGTCCTTGAAGCTCTTATTATAGCAAATGATACTCGGACTGCAATCATCAATTCAGAATTTGCTAAATTGAAAAATGCTGATACGGTTCTTGAAAGGTAGACAATTATTCTAATTTACCACTTTTCGAGTAATCAGTATGTTTATATTGACAGTGGTCTTATTATTTTATGTATGATAAGATGTGTTGAACCTAGTGGTATAATAAATCCTTTTAGTAAAGTAGACCAGTGTTATCGTTAACAGTCATGTTAAACACGGAGTCCGCTTCAGATTGATGATTATCCTGAGAAAAAAATTGATAACAACTTCCCATGTATATTCTATGTTCTACTAATGATTTCTTTGCAAATATCTAACTAATGAAGTACGAAATATACAATTGCCACTACATTTTGTCAAGTTACTATCATGGTCGCACCTGATTATGCTCCTTTGAATCTTTGCATTTCTAAAACAAATGCTGGTACAAGGCTTAATGAACAGGATACATGGTTAAATAAGAAACTCGGGTATTTCAAGGAACCTCAATTCGATTTCGAATCGATAGACGAATTTATTCTTCCAGCTCTTCTTCCGTAACAGGAAGTCACTTACCGTGAAAAAATACCTCATACTAATTTCTTGTATGTTGTACCGTTAGATGGTTTCTCAGAAGTTTGCATTTATTCTTTAACACTAACACAGTCATTCTCTTCGTTTCAAATACCAATAAACATATGAAAGTTTAAGCAAACCACTTTTCCAGTTGCCTTGAAACTGTTACGCTGCAAGAGTAGGAAGCTATGTGCACTTTGAGATTTTCTAAATATGTTGGTGACTATAACACATATCTCAATCCATTGGTCCCAGGTTCGAGGCAGCTTCAGTTGCTTCTCATGAAATGTCGGTTAGTATCGTCAGCCCTCACAAAAACTGTGACTTGAAGACAAGAAAATAAATATTTACTTGGTAAATAACGAACAATATTTTCACCTACTTAGGTGGTATAACTATTTTGTTTATTACAAACATCATCCTGACATTCACTCTCTGTAACTCCATTAGATAGATTTTTGAAGCCATATGCAACGAGTAAAATGTAGTGTTGTTCTCATCATATCTCAGCAGAATCATACAGTTTAACCTAATTATCATCGGTTGTAAACAGTAAAGACAAAATGAATAATGTATAGTACGGTACCAAACTCTGTTTTACGGTTACCTGTCAAGCGTTACTGTGATTTAACTATGTTGTCTGCTACATGGCTGTTACTTATTGATTTATCTTTTTATAACGCTGATATATCAAGCCTCCAATACTAAAATTACTGAACCATACAATCTAATTTTTGTTCTTTTCATTGTGAGCCATTTGACAAAAATAAATGTTTGTTTTACTAAGTAACTTTCTATAAATAACAAGTGAATAAGTAGCACTGGAAATTTGAAATTATGCCAAATCAATATTTGTTGTTTTAATTTTTATCCTCTTATCCTCGAACCAACAGTCAGCCTAGGTTTGATAATAGCTTTTATGAAAAGCAGTTTTCTTGTTTGTTTTTTCTAATTGACCCTCAAAAAATATTTTGTTTTGTAACATTTTTATGAGATTAATATTTATCAATTTTTGCTTTGAACAATCTTTTCCACATTGTATTCATGTATTTTAATGCATTTATTCAGTAGTATTGTGAAACCATGTCAAACTATCGATTTATTAAGCTTAATTAGCTTCACTTTATTCATCATTTTGATGTAACTTAAATTTAAGAAGAAAAATTCAAGCACAGTTTTCTTTGTTATTATTATTATTTTTGATTTCTTCAGTGAAATGAATCAACACAATTTTCCACGTTCATTGGAACTCAGTGTATTTCAACTGATTTGTGAAACATTATTAAAAGAATCTGTCAAGGTTCATCAATCTGGTGGAGTAGATAGTTTGAGACGTAAAGTTCATTCACTGAAGCCATTAGCTGGAGAACGATTCAAAACTCTTGGAGAGGTATTGATTTTATCCATTTTAAAAATAAAAACTTTATTGTAATAGTTTTTGTCTGTGGAATTGATGTTTTTGAGTATCAACACTTTCTGTTCTTGTTAATTGCATTCAAACATCGAATATCGCTTTTTTCGATGTTGAGTCTGTTGTTTTAGAGTAAATGTGATGTTACTTCATCGGGAAACTTCACTTAGGTGCTATAAACGTCTTTATTACAGTTCGAAAAATTTCATGTAAGATTTTATTGCAAGTAATGGAACTGTGATCATAATGCGCATGTAATCAATAAGTGGATCGATATGATGTCGCGGCCTGCTTGAACATATGGGCTACCTATCCCAGCCATCTAGATATTTCAACAAGTTATCTAATTTTGTTTGTTTTAATACATCATTATGGCTATTAATCACATAACCTATTCAGATGTGTTTCTGAAAAGTGTACAACCTTTCGTTGTACAAGTTACAAAAGGCCAATTAGCGATATCGTGGTTGCTGGCAATGTGCAGCGAAAAGAATTTTCATTATTTAGATGTCTATTGACTGGACTGCTAACTTTTAACTAACGATCACTCTATATTTATCGTCAGGATCGACTAAGAAGTAAGAAACGGAAACTTGTTGAAATACTTTGTGCTCAGAGTTCTATATCGTACTAAAAATCTAATATTGAATAAAGCTAATAATAATAAATAATAATAACTGATCCAAATTAAATATTTGATTTTCTTTTAGCGAGATGAACTATAAAGTTATTTACATTAATAGATACAACTACAAATTTTAAAGTTCTCAATATGATTGTACATATAAGTGATAATTTTATATGTTAATCAGGTTGACTCAATATTGATATCCGCATGAAGTATGATAAATGGGATGTTTGTTCTTTCTGGTCTCATTGTACTTAAAAAGTCGTTTATTGAATAGATAAGATTGAGTCATTCTACTGTTATATTTTAGCTTAGTACGCTGTAGTAAAGATCTAAAAATGCAGATTTATAGCTAGGAATGTGCTACGATGTGATATTTGCTCATCATCCAACTCCGTCACACATTTTTCTAAGAGGGTTAGACTAAATTACGACTGTCATAAAATTCTTCTGCAAATATTGTCTTAAAGAATTCTCCTACCGTTGAATGAACTACCAAAAAACCAGTTGTATGGAAGTAACCATATTTCATTGATTTTATGCAGCACTATTATTGTATTCTTTCATGTAGGTATTAAAATAACGAAATAATCCAGTCGAAATGATTAATCGCTTGCGTGCTTGAATGTCTTAGCGAGGTGAGGCACTCATCAACCCTATTTAATACCAAATACCAAGGTATTTTGTAGCTAAAAATGTAGGATCTAGAATCATGAATATGTAAAGAATCAGTTTAGTTATTGTAATTCACAGCTCGAGTGTCGGGGAGCGTGATGATGTGCTTAAACCAGTCTCTGTTGTCGTCTGTATTACTAATGAACAACAGGGTAAATAAGTATATCTGTCTCTTCACCTTTATAAGATGTAGCATGAATCTTGTTAATACATTTGCGGACAAAATATCAGCTTGAATACCGAATGTATTCATAGTACTCACCAGTGCGCATAGCATTGTTTAACTGAGCAAAATTTCTAAACGTTCATTCAGAACGGGGCATACTGTGCAATAGTTTTATTACCCTTTTGCCTTATGGTCATAAAGCTTGGTTGTTAAAAGTATAAGACATAGGAAGATCACAGATAACTTCATCACTTATGTCACAAAAATCTTAAATTTCTCACAAAGAATACTAGATCGCTTCTAGTAGACAGCGGATGTCAGTGAACCGTGCATAATATTTCTTTGAGTGTCTATGTGAGGTTCATGTTTATGAGTCTCTGGATTTCGAGTGAAAATGAGTTTATTCATTTACTATTTAGTCCATTATTTATAGAAATACATCTAGCAGGTATTATTAATCATTAAAGAACAATTTGTGTTGTATAATTATGATGTAAGAAAAATGTCGTTAGCAAGTAAACTTATTTATGGTATTTAAATGTGATATGACTGAGTTTATTGACATGATAAGAAAAGCAGATTTGTATGAATTGTGAACTAGTCCTAAGCAAGTATTATTGATCCCCACAATGTATCACTGAAAATTAGGAAAATCAGCAGGCAACTATCCTCTGACTGCTACCAAATGTTATTCAGTATAATACAGCTCTTCATATATACGTTTGTAGCCGACTCGAAAAATTTTTGACGACTTATACAGATCGGTATGACTCCTGAATAAATTCACGAATAAGATTATACATACTGTGTAGCAGCATGCACCGAAATCTGGAATGGGAAAATTTCAGTTTCACTTATAAGTAGACTAAAATATTATCTTATATTTTAACCACCTCCTATCACTATGATGTTTATCAGACTCGTTATAATTATATATTTTACCAGTAGTAGTATTTTTGCTTCCCTCGTTCATACTGTATTGATATTTTTTTACATATTTGTTATCTTCTTTGGACTCCTGGGCTTCATTTACACTTATTTTGAAATCTTTTCTTTACATCAGATAGAAGAAATGCTACGTAAGGAGGAAAGCAATGATATTGCTTTCAGAACTGGTTATACCAATATTTTGTCTCGTGAACCGTCAGAGAAACTGAATTCATGTTTTCGTGAAAAAGTCGACAAAATACGCTTGTCTGTTCAACTGGTACGTCATATACATATATATTCTTATCTATAATATGTTTGTTAATTGTCTTTTTTCGCCTAACAAAACAATAATATGCTTAAAACGTTTTCTTCTGTACAATTGGAAAGAAATCCTGAAAATCAGTTTTAGTAAATTTATAATTACAAGGTAACTAGAATGAAAACATGCCTATCATTCTCTTGTTGAATAATATCTACCATTGTTTAACTGATAAATACAACATAATCTAATAGAATGATTTTTCTAATTCATATTTTATTTTGATTCTTATCTATTTGTATTTCACAAAAAACATAGTTGATTGAATTGTTTTTGTCTGAATAAATAAATTCGTTTTGTTTATAGAATTTTTAAGTTTATAAAATCATCTATGGTTAATTCGTAGTGTTTTCTATTTCATTCTTTAAATAAATTATTTATATGGTTTCATTCAATTGTATGATAACTCTTTATATCATATTTCTATTGTACGTTATTTCTCATTACTGTTTATTATTGTTAGATTTTCTTTGTTTATAGGTTTCTGAAAAAGATTACGATGTGATAGCATTATTTAAACAACATGAAATGAATTTTCAAACATTGGACATGTCTAACAATGAACTTTTAGTATATATTCAATCAAATTTTGAACCTAAAGAAATTGAAGTAATAGAAGAAATTGAAAATTTACGCAAAGATTTAATTCGTATATGGGATGACCTTATTGTGAATAAGCATCAACGTGATGATGTAATAAAAATGTGGGATTTAGTTTGTTTACCGCCAAATTTTGGTAAATTATCAATTTTTTTATGTTGATTTTATGATTTTTAATTATCGTAAATGTTTACATTTATTTAATTCACAATAAAATAGAAAGAACTGCACATTTACTTAACGTGTAAACAATCCAAATCGACAGTCGTTTACTTACTTGAAATGGTGCATTTTGAGTGAATTTTAGCAACTTCTTAGACTAAAGATTCAACTCAATCTAAAATAAATCTTCTCATAAGTTTTGTAAGTGATTGTTGGAAAGCTGTTAAAAATGAAATCTCATGGTTAAATTAGAGGTATTTCCAATTGTTTACAAAAGCAATAACCCTTCACCATTAATTAACTGATTCAGCATTTTATACATGGTGTTAGAATAAATTTCAATATGAAAACCTTTAATTTACAGTTAGTAAACTTTCAGTGTGTATAAAGATTTTCTGCATGCTATTGAAGAACAACAATTATTTTTGTAATATTTTACACCGTAGCTTGTATTTAATTGGACTATGTTTATAAAGTGCCTCGTTTGAAGATCATCTTCACCAGAGGTTGATACTAGCTATTCTTTGTAACTGATGCCAGTGAACAGATAAAATTAATTGGTGCCTATCAATCATAACTGGGTAGTAAAGAGTATACGGAGGGTAAAGAGCTCCAAACTTAGTCAGTGATAAATATGTGACTGATGTGTGCTAGATATTTGAAGTTCGTGTTTCACACCAATTTACTGCTCACTTTTGGTCAAATAAATTCCCCCCTTAGTTTCAGCGTATGGAATATCTTCAGTCATATTTGAAGAAAAACTGTTAATAAAAACGTTACATTATTATCCTTTACCAGTGAAGTTATTATTTTAAGTGAATGTTCGACAGGAAATGTTTTGAAGAAACAAATTTTCGAAAATTAATCCTTTTAACTGGTTTTCATACTCACCACTAACTATTCGATAGATCTATGTGTTTTCCATCATATAATCATTTATATCAATGGCGAACAGGTACTTCAATGTTGATTTGTCTTCTCGTCTATTCACGACTGGGGCACCAGAGGTCTGGAAGTTTGTCGTTGTTTAGTCATTCAGTCAAATAACTTCTTATTTATCTCAATAAAATTTGAAATTATTCTTTTTCACAATATTCCTTCTTAGTTCATACCCTAACAAAATGGTATCGTACTCAAGGTGAAATAAATCATAACGAAGTGACATCTAAGACATTTCGTGATAAAGTTGATGCTGCACGAATATGTGTTAATCAAAATTTGGATGAACAACGAAATTTATTATCTCAACTACGAATTAAATGTGAACCATATTTTAATCAAATTCTCAAATATCGACAGCATAGTGTGATAGCGAATTTACAAGAAGCCTGTAAATTATTTTTAAGTATACGTAAAGATGTTGAGAAAAGTTTACATTGGCATTCGGAATTCGAAAAAATTTGCAATGAAGAACTACAGTTGGTAAGTTCTTTTTCTCATGTTTGATAATTATATTATTTATGCATAACAACAACAGTAGTTGCTTTGCATTAGATATTGTCAGTGACTGAACTATCGATTAACATAATTCTGTGTGTGAAGTTAACCTGTGACTGTTATGTAACGAAGAATAATGAAAAGCCTTACCGATGAAACAATTCTGTATGTATGTTGATATCGTGAAACGATATAGTGGAAACGGTGTTAGAAAATACTGGGATCTGTTAGTGAATATGACTCATTAACGTATGAGGTTGCCTAATGTTATCATTAAAACATTGTTGAGACCTACAATATGGTTACTCGACACTTCTTTGTTAGGAATGAAACAAAATTGGAAGTTTCCTGTTCAAAGTCAATCAGACAATGTTAGAGATCCCTAATGTGAAAACTAGAACAACACATAAGCGAACATTAATATTTTCAGTTAAATCGTGATCAGACTGTTAGCGGGACATTGATTGGACTAAAGTGTTTCGTGCAGCATTATGTCGGGGCGCTCTGATCGGCTATTTCGTGACTAATCAGTACTAGCAGATACTTGGAGAAGACTCTAGAATCACCTTATATGAAAATTATAAATATACCAATGTTTTTTATTGTGATTCCTACTTTCATTCAGCCTTTTTATTTGGAATATAATTACGTTCCTGTTCAACTGTCTTCTGATTTAGTGACTTATTGAGTGAATTCGTGTGCAAGAATACTAAACAATAAGAGTGGCTGGGTCGTTAAAAGTGTAATCATAACAGAACTTACTGTAACATGCAGGGTTATTTATATACATACATGAAAATATTAAACCAGTTAAGGCAGTTTGTGAGTCGATGCTCATGATTCAATAGATGGCATAATAACAAATAACAGGTAAAAAGTACAAATCGATTCATAAGAAGATAGGTGTAATAGTTTTGATAAGAAAAATGAGATAATCAATCTGTTAATCAGTATTTCAGTACAGGAACTAGGTCGAAATTGTGTAAATATTAAGATATTATAAGTATAGGGATTTTACAGAGATTGTAGCAATTTTCATGGTTGAAATCACTATTGAGAACCCTAAAGTACTGGACAGCCGTTTCGTCCTAGTATGGGACTTTTGCAAGTGCGCATCCACAACCCTGATTCTGGAAACCGAACCAAAGGTCTTCACTCTCGCGTGCTGACGCTTGACCTTTAGACCACTTAACCGGCGTGATTTCAATCAAATTCAACATTCTCCAGAATCCCATATTGAACATTACATTATTGTTGATAATTCTTATTTCATTGAAAAATTGCAAGTCCTTCGGTTCATTGATTTGCACACCGCAGTTTTGTACATTTTGCATGAAAGTACTTTCATATTTAAATGATTAGGGTTGTTTGTACGTTTATTGCAGTTGATTTCACATACCACAAGTTAATCGGTACGGCAAACAACTAACAAAGTAGTTCAATCGAAATCTGGTATCTCATCAAGATATTGATTTCGTGTCAGGTCTCGAGGCACAATGATAACTACAGCTATTTTTTGATGCAATAAAATTAATGGTCAATCGGTCATAATGCAAACATAAAACTAAGTTGTAAGCTCATCACATTGACAGTTTCGTTCATTCTTTAACTTTCTTGGAAAGTCAAACAGTTTTGTAGTTTGGTTATTATAAGTACTTTATTATGTTAAGTATGCTACCAGAAAGTATCTATGAATGTTTCATTAGACCCTTATCTAGATTTATTCCTATCTGAATAAAACGAAGACGAAGAACGATATTTCATCATCACTACTTAAGCATCTCTTGTCATGAAGTTTCTGTTAATAATTATTCTACTGTGTTTCCTCAATTGTATGGGAATATCGTAAGTACTGTGTTATGTTTGCTTTTTAGAGAGTAGACTAAGTGCACAAATACTTAATATGCATAATTTTCAACTTTCTTTAAAATGTCCACATCTCCCTTTGTTTCTTTGATTCAATGATGTCATCACCAGTAGAAATTAACGATAAACAAACGAGTAGGTAATCTATTATATGTACATATATGTTTTAATGTATCAAAATACTGAACAAGAGTTGATTACACTTTTCACCTGTGTACATTTTAGGTGAATGATTTCTGTTTGGCTCGTAGTGATGAAATTAATCAAATTATATCAGAAAATGAACAATGGGAATCTGTAACCCATGATTCAGTATCAAAAGATTGTGAGTTAATTTCACTGACTCTAGAAAAAGCTCTTCATGTGCTTTAATAATACTCTACTTTTAAACACAGAAAGCTAGAGTTATTCGTTGCTAATTATTATTCTACAGATCTATGAAAAGACTAGTTTGAATCCCATTCAAAAAAAATCTAAACGTATAAAAGACATTTGTTCTGAATATGAGGTATCTAAGTGGATGGGAAGATGTACAACATGGGACCATCTATATTTACGTTACCCCAATCACTCTATTATGATCAATCTTTAATCATAACATTCACGGCTTCCAAATATTTATCATGTTTAGTGAACAGCTACTGATTTTCGCACAATTCCACCTGACAGTTGGTTTTTATAGAGATTGATTTCGACTTGTGTTTTTCAATATAACCTTACCATAGCCGAAATTGTATTTTATTGTAGAGAGTCAGTTATTATACTTAGTGTGCCATATATACCTTAGATGACGTATGATCATGAATCAATCGGTATATCTCCCTTAACTACAAGTTGGCAATCCATACTGAATTGGTGGTTTCATCACTCGTGGAAAATTCAGTAAATCGTTATGAATATTCTATTTGGAAATGAATTCCAACCTCGTTTCCTTAGTGGAGTACGAACCAGTTTTTCCTCATTTTATTCTATATCTTTATTAACAATCAAAAGTGTATGAACATGGATATGTATATATATTTTCATATATTTATAGAATACTTATATTTAAAAACTTGAAAGTTTTTCAGTACAACTCAGTATATTGATAAAACCTTAAAGATTCATTTCTTAGATTGAAAGAATACACTTTTTATAAATAATAGGTACATCTTCCTCTACTTATTCGATATAACTACTACGATATTTAATTAGAATTTTTCTTTATGTTACAGGAATTTATTCATCACCATTATCATACCAAATCAGCATTATGCAAAATTATTTTCTGCTTTTCATTTGATTATCATTGAATATTGCTCGGTTTTTTTTGTTTACATTTGATTCATTCATTACATAACTTTTTAAAATACATATATATTCCCCATCCATTGTTAGAGAACAATACACGGTGACGTCTACCCATCAGCATTCACAAAAGATTTCTTTTTTTTTGATAACATCATCCATGGATAATGTTAACTATGTCATAATTAGCCATCTTTTTTCCAAAGAGACTTAAGCGGTCAGTTTGTCTTATATTTTTATTTCATTTACGATTACATATACATTAATTCATCCCACCAGTGATCTGTAATTTTTTTATTGTATGAGTTAAACTAAGTCACTATATTCATTTATATTTGCCAATATTATGAAACTGATTTTTTCTCCTTTCTAGTTTGAGCTAATTTTGATCATAATGGTTAACTTATATTTTCACTTTCTTTTTTTTAAACATTGTTTTATGCGTTGAATAATATATTTATACAGTTTGTCATTTCTTCAAATTAAACACTCTCTATTGAATAGATAAATCTATTATTGGGCCAAATTAACAAAAGACTCTGGTTGAGTTGTATTTATGCCAAAGTAGTATCAAAGCAAATGTATTGTCATAATCAGATAACAAAATGTTAAGGACAGTCTATTGCTTGGATAAAATGAGAATATAGTATTGACATATCATAACCGTTTCACAATATTGATCTGAATGGTGAGTGTCATTGTATTGCAAACACTACACCAAATCCAAAGGAAAGTTATTAATGAGTGGGTGAATGTTTTGGTTTGATTATAAATTCATAATCGGTCATTTAAATAAAATAATTGTAACATGTTTACCGAGTCCCTCTGAGTTAGACTTTTGTGTGGGAGCTGGTGATATCACCTTTATGTTCTAAGTCAAAGTTTAAAATGGTTCTAACTTGTGACCCATCGATTAAACTTCAAGTGCTTAAAACACATAAACTTCGTCCAACATCAGCCACTTATTTAAATATCTGTCGATTCAGTCTTATCTACTGCAGAAAAAGGTTCCTTACTTGAAATCATTAGATGCAGATCTACTGAATTATTTTGTGAAAAGGTGTATTTTTGAAAACCTTATAACCATTCTTAATATTCTATCGTACAAAACATGTAGTAGTGTACATCTTGATAACCTTAAAAATTCTGAAATTTACTTGCAAAATGTTGCGCTTTTATTAAAATACCACGTGAATGTTTGGTAACTGCGCAATTTAATGTGGATCAATCAAGTAATCTACAAATTGACAGTACAAATTTTATGCTTTTAATAACAATAATTTAACGGGATAGTCTTTGTGATGTATAACATCAAGATGTTTTTGGTTAAAAGTGGTATGCTGAAAACCAGGGATTATAAATATATAACCCGAAGTACAAATGAAAAAATAATCAATTAACAATTATGGAAATAAGGTTTTGTCACTAAAAACTCATTTTCTCATAAAGGTTCCCAGTTGTGTATTTTAAACATAAAACTAGTATAAAAAATAATTCATTTATGTGGTTAATAAATTAGGTTTGAGAAGTTATTCGGAATTTAAATGAACTTTAGAGGTGTAGGCATAGACTATTTAGCTTGTTTATTTATATCAGCTTCTGAATGTATCTTGACAGCTTATTTACATCTGTTCTTTTTACAATATTAAAATTATTAACTGCTTTAGTATATGTATATATTTATATTAACAAAGACGATAACTATGTACAGTGTAATATGATCACAACTATCAATGTACACGAATTACGTTCATAAGTATCAGTTAGCAGACATCAATATAGTTCATAGTCTGTAAATTTCATCGAAAACTCCGCCCTCGTCGACCACCTCGTTGATGGGTTCCAGAATGATGGCGTGAACCACGTAAATTGACAGTAGGATTATTCGGTGCTTCCTTTTTTCTTACAATAGTGAATAATGAACATAATGATTCTGTACAGAATGCACATCCAGAGAATGTAGTGCTAATTTTTTCAGAATTATCTTCGCTTGAATTAGGGACTTTACCCTGGAAACAAAATAGGAGTATTTGAAATGATGACAATCATATTATCAGTTCAATTTATTACATGATGAAATTTAGTACCTATGCAATTATCTATTCAGGCTCAGCATACATAGGCCTAGTAAAATAGCAGCGATATTTTTCTTATTTAATGAAATTTATCACACAAGTATCTTACTCAGCTTAGTCCAATTTCAGTTGACTGAAATACACACTTTTATTTCAACTATCGTTCAGACAGTAACAGTAACTGTGAGATTTTTACAATAAGCAAAAGAAGGGTAATCGGTACCAAAGTATATATATATATATATATTGCCCGTTGATATCATCTTAGCAACTAGAGCGGACATGTATTTTAAATTTAAAAAAAAACCGTCCATGATTATTTGTTGAACTTTCGTCTAGTTGCTCTTTCTCGAATGGTAGAAAAAAAAAAACTATTATTAAATTGCGAATCGCAGGTTAAATGCAATACGGAAACCTGATAATTTATAACTACAATAATACCATAGATCAATAGTAGTCATACGAGAAGTTCTCACTTAAGAATATCTTTGTAGTAATTATTATCAGCAAAACTAGTGCAACTTCACAGATGAGTAGGCCTAACAGCTATGATCAACCACGGCTAAACTTGTGACGATACTTATAATTTGTTTCATATTTTGAACAATTTTTTTTCGAGCGTATATCTTACATTTCTTCTAATATCTAAGCCAATTATTAGTATAAACAATTGGACTCAACAAACGTTGCTAATGAATTAATGTACTTTTTAAACATACTACACAAAAAGGCAAAGAGAGACTAGTCAACAAATTATATCTAAATTAAGGGAGATTTAAGATTATCGAGTTGTGTTTATGTTAAACAAATGAGTAAAACCAGATAAAATATTTTTTTCTAAAAATACAGTTTGTACATACCGGATCAAATCTCAAGTTAAGATGCATAGCTGTACATACTGAACAGCTAACATTTTTGACAGACATACTTTTTACAGCGTCAGAAATAGACAGGAATGTTGGACATCTATAGTAGAACAAAAACAGTGCGCATACAATAAGTCAGAACAATAAAAAAGTTTTTAGTGGAAAATGGGAAAAAAGCATTCATCAAAAAACACTGAAATTAGTTCTTAAACTTACGCACACAACATTTAAAAGTAACTCCTGTAAAATCCACATAAGTATGCTTAAGGACGCACCGAAAGAACACAATCAAAAGTGACGTAGTTAAAAAAATATGTCTATAACTGCAGCTTTAAGAAACAAAAACTTGAATTCATGTAGGAACATATAAATATCCGTAACCGATATCCACAGAAATTGTATCCACGGTTTTAATTGGATGATTTCAAATACTTCGAATAATACATTTGGATGTTGTGTACTATTACTAAGCTTATTTATTACTTCTATTGATTTATGAATACACTAAAATTAACGAGAAAGTCTACGACAGAAAACTGTTCAGTTATCAATTCAATCAAAAACATACATTCGAAGTTCATCAACATAGGAGCATATTTCTTCAATGGATTGGCTCAGTCAATTGTATGACTTCTAGAACAATTTGCAACCAAACATTGCAGCGAGTTTAACTATTTTGAGGATAGTAGAAATATATTATAGGAGTCGACAGATCAGGTTATTCATTGAAACTAGAAAGAACTCATCCATAAGAACGATATTATTCCACGATCAAGTGTCGAAATCTAGTTATTTAATTTCATTTGAATAGTAGAATGTGTCCAAGGTTTATGTAATCAACTATGGCTATCCGTGGTTGTTTATTTTAAAAATTTTAGATTTATCATCTATTAACTAATTATCATTAAAATAAAATTGACACGTACTACATCCTTAAAAGTAAACCAAATCAAACCGTTAAGTTTTGACTATCCACTTTGAGGATTACTGAACCCATATAGACATAATAATGTAAGGGGAACGTTTAATTTGCATTCAAATTTAACAGAATCTATTTACAAAAAAAACATGCTGAACAATCAAATAATCAGAATGTGTTTTGTGGAGATTTTTAGAAATTTTCACAGATTGAACTCATGAGTCAGTTGAAGCTAGACCGCCATTGAAAACCTGGAAGCACTGTACGGTCGTTTCGTCCTAGTATGGGACTCCTCAGCAGTGCGCATCCACGACCCCGCACCACCCGGGGCTCGAACCCAGGACCTACTGGCTTTGCGCGCGAGCACTTAACCATTAGACCACTGAGTCGGCATCCGACGGTGTTAATGTCTAACTTCAACCAATCCACGAAGTTGCGCTGCCGTACACCATTGTCTTCAGTGAGTTCCTATCTCACAACAGACCTGGTTGAACTCCACTGGTAACGACTTCTCACTAGAACTCCAGAAGTGTCTCCTGAAGTCAGTCACTAGTGAGCAGGTGATTATTATTATCAGAATGTGTTTTGTGGAGATTTTTAGAAAATTTCACAGATTGAACTCATGAGTCAGTTGAAGCGCACTGCTGAGGAGTCCCATACTAGGACGAAACGGCCATCCAGTGCTTCCAGGTTTTCAATGGTGGTCTAGCTTCAACTGACTCATGAGTTCAATCTGTGAAAATCAAATAATCGTCGACCTAGTCATCCACAGTATTTTATATGATGATGAATGACATGATTGTTATTTATGAAGTTTTAACCCTGTGTACAAATAAATATTTCAATTATGGTATACTTAAAACGTTTCACTTTGTGATTTTATACCATAAAATAACACTATACTGCTGACTTCAAATTTTTACATCATTTTTCATTAGTTTGTCTCGTTAACATATTGCCGCTTTAATTGTATCATTACTAATTCGTAATACTATTTCAAAGACATAAAATTCTATTATTTTAATGACTAATAGGAATAGGTAAGAAGAAGAAAACAAATGAATTTAACTAAGCAATTCAATTTCTTAATATAACTTTAAAAGCCTATCTATTTGATATTATAATATGAGAATCAGTTTTCGGTTAAATCTAAATAGTAGTTCATTGGAATTTCGCATAAAATTGATGTACATTCTGATAGTATTAATTTGTAAGACAATGAAAAATATCATAAACCAACGTGAAATGAATAGTTGTTAAAAATCATATACAAGTATATACACGTTAGAAACGATCATCTTGTCTTTTTCCCAATGAAAAAGAGTATTTAAAAAATAGACAAATAAAAGTTTTAAGATATAGATATATTTTATACTTGTAGAATAAAAATAACCATTTCCATAATTTATGAACTATCATATGTTTCCTGAAAGTTATGCAATGAAACTTCATCATGTAGTGAATGATTCAAAACTATGAATAATGAAATAATCATCAAGATAAATCCCAACTTGATAAGAATGAAATTTGTGTTACTTAGGTGAGATTATGATTCTTTTTTAAAAAAAAAGAATTACGTAATAATAATAAACTAACCTATTACAATTTAAACGATATTTTGGTGCATTAGAATCATCTAAAACTAGTATACCATATGGACAATCAGGACATGCATCAACTCCTAATGATTCCATTGATTGTGGACATGTTGGATGAGGGCATCTATTACAACCGGATAATTTTGGCATTGATTCAAATGGTGGATGAGAAAAACAATATGGACAAAAAACCATATTCTATGTAAATAAATAAACGAAATAAATTATTTTTTGTTAGACTAGATGTTACACGAATTATTTTCAATCTATGTATGAATAAACAAATAATAGAATAGAAAAAGAACTTCATAAGAGATCACAAATTAAAATTCTAGTTATTGAAACAAAAATCTAGATTTAATAAAATATGCTAATTCCACTATATTCGCTTCTTTGGCAATATAAACTCCATGTTATTCCCTCTTTGTCTGGTTATTATCTCTTTTTTTCAAAGATTAACTGTATTAACAGTGGAATAGAATATAAGCTAAACTGTTGGCATAAAAAGTTATATGGATAAAAATTAGGAAATATAAATATTATCGTTATTTGATATAACTAAATGGGAGTAACAATTTTGATATGTGAATCCCTGATTTATGTATGAATACACACAATTGGACCATAAAACAGGTGGATCTCAATGTCTAGAAAGTCACCTATATTCATATTATATATGAAGGATACATCAGGAACTACAGCAAAGATTATTGATACTGTTTGAAATAGGCGTAGTGCATAAACAACGAAAATCACTGCAATCAATCTTATTCAAACTAAAATATGAAATAGCACCTAAAAAATACAATGCTTCAATTGCGAGAAACAATATATCGAAGAAAGTGGCCACTCTCTTCATATACATCGGCATGAACGTCAACTAGCTTCAATGCAGGTAGACAATTATGGACACGTTCAACTGGAAAAATGTTGAAATCTCGGACAGAGAGAATACTGATAAGATAAAAGAATTTTTGGAAGCTTGGCACTCAGTTCAATAAGCAATCAATTAACATGAAAAAATCAATCCATTTTGTCAACCAATCGTAAAAATTATGAGCAACTTTAAAATCAAAAGGGATGATAATCGAGATACATATAAAGAAAAGGATAAACAACAACCAATCACGATCGATGTTGACAGAACAATTTATTAGTTATATACCTAGAAATTCGAATAGTTTATTTCTGTATGCAGTTTGTACTGGTGTTATTCAAAAAGTAAATGAAAGTTTCGAAACCAAACTATCCCGGACAGAAAACCCAGTCGAAAGCTTCATCATCATTGTGAGAACTTTTAATGGTGCCGTGTTCTCCGACCTGTATGGTATAATTGCGAAACGTTCATTGTTTTTATAGGTATCATTACGACCTACTTTAAACAGACTTCTCAAAGTAGACAACACAACCAAAACTATTCATTGAAGTTACAAATCTTCATCTTCTCAGGACCTGAACACTAATTACAGTGTACAAATTATCTAAAGTCGAAAACGTACCTCATATCCCCTGTACAGAGATTAAGGAAACAGTAGAATGCCATATTAAGGTTAGACATAAAATAAATTTCCAAACTCCTAAAGGCTTTTACATAAAGGGTTTGTGGAAAAATTAGATTAAGAATTTCACCTTACGCAACTAATTAAGTACTAGCGTCAATAATTATCAGACGCCTAACTAAGACTTGTGAACTGCAAACACGAGAAAATCAGGCTGTCTTCAAACCTGGTCGTGGTTGCATCGACCACACATTCACCATTCGTCAGGTTCTAGAACACAGGCATACTTATCGGCATCCGACAATGGTGGTCTTTCTTGACTTAAAAGCAGCATTTGACTCGGTAGACCGCGAGATTCTGTGGCAGTCTCTGTCATTGAAAAGCGTACCTCATAAGAACATAAACCTTGTGAAAGCTCTCTACTCGAACACTACCAGTCGAGTCAGAGCTTATGGCAAACTGTCATCTGGTTTTGCAACCTCAAGTGGTGTCCGTCAAGGCTGTCCACTTTCTCCATTTTTGTTTAACTTCATCATAGACTTATTGAGGGAAATAACATTTTCGTCTACTGAATTCTCGATTATTGATCTCCTTCCAGGAGGTCCACTTATCGACTTAGAATACGCGGATGACATAATCCTGTTTGGTGAAGACGCTGACAAAATGCAGTCTTTTGGTAGCACTAAGCAACAATGACAGAATGTTTGGAATGCGCTTCTCTCCCTCTACATGCAAGCTGATGCTTCAGGACTGATCTGTGTCAACACCTGAACTATGGACAGGGAGTGAAGTAGTCAAACGCGTTGACAACTTCATCTACTTGGAAGTGTGATCAGCCCTAATGGGTTGGTGTCTGACGAAATCTCAGCACGGATTCGAAAAGCTCGTTTGGCTTTTGCCAACTTACGTCACCTTTGGCGAAGGCGAGATATTCGTCTATCAATAAAAGGACAAGTATACTGCGCGGCAGTCCGTTCTGTGTCAATTTACGGCAGCGAAACATGGCCTTTAAGAGTATAAGACACTCGTAAGCTATTAGTATTTGACCACAGATGCCTTAGAAATATTGCTGACATCTGCTGGGATCACTGGGTAAGTCATAGTAAAGTTAGACGAAGGGTATTAGGGAATCATGGTAAATCAGTTGATGAGGTTGTAAATCGTTATCGACCGAAATGGTTGAGCCACGTGTTGCGTATGCCTGAGCACCGACTACCACGAAGTGCAATGCTAAGCTGTGTTGGGGATGGTTGGAAGAAGGTTAGGGGCGAACAAACAAAAACGTGGCATCAGTGCTTGAAGTCACTAACTTCTAGTCTGAGCCATGTTGGTAGATGCAGACTACTTGGTTGGGGTCCGCGTGACTTTCGTAACCAATGGTTGGAGACTCTTGGTGACATGGCTCAGAATCTATCACAATAGCGTCGGTGTATACACTCTCTGTCTTCCCTTAAACTAGGAGATTAAAATCGCTTCATATCTTTCTTTCTACGAACTAATTCTTTCTTCCTGTACCATATCCTTATACACAATCTTTTTTTATATATCACCACCATTGACTTAACTACTATTATGAATCCGATGTTCATCTTGCTGTGATAATGCGGTATGGCAACATGAACCGATGCATATATGTGCCTGGTCCTTCGTTGTAGCTGACTGACTGACTAAGAAATATAACACGAAATTAACACTGAAAAAGATCACCTACTGATCTCATGGTTGTGAACAGTTCATTATGAGACCTAGAGGTCATGGTGTCCAGTCAGTGTTCCAAAACAAGAATTCAGTTCTCTATAATTTATATTCTGTTTCAATATAGAGCCTCCCTACTTCCATTGTTGAGAGGCAGTATCACCGAAGATGTTGCTTCTTCAGCTGACCTGTATAGAATGATAACACTTAAAGAAACGAATGTTGGAGCCAGTAAAGCTTGGCTGGATCATCTTGATAAGTAATGGTAACCACCATGTCAATGTATTTTCAATTATTATAGAATAACCGGAATTATAAATTAATACAGTAAATTATAAAAAAGAAACCTACTCTTCCTTTACCGCCTTGAGTATAGCATAGTAGTTCAAATTTATCTAAAGGACATTTTTCGGTTTTATACGGTCGAATTGTACCATTCTGTGGTAATGTATATGTTTCATTACAAATTGAACAATGAAGACGTTGTGGTCGAGAATCTATAAACTTTAAGTATCGATGACATTTTCCACATCTAAAGTATAAAAATGCATCGTAATAACACAGAAAAAGGAAAATCAAGTTATCAAACAGTTGGATGAATGAAAACGTACACTGTCTGGAGTTATCTGAAATAAAAAAATTTCCTGAATTTCAATTCTCATAAAGTTAATTCACAATAGTTATAGACGTTTGTATAGGGATTCATATAATTGCCTAGTTAGTAACTGACTACTTGAAGTTGAATTGATTTGGTGAACAAGAAATATCTCCGGTTAAAATAATTATATTACCATTGAAAATAAAGATTTTCAACACATAAAATTCTTGACAGATTCAAATCTATTTCAAGGATCTAACGTTTATCTGATTCATATTCCAATTAGGGTATAACTTAAGATTTTCAATTATTTACTTTGAAATGATTAGTGACTAGTGTAGTTAGCATTTCATGTAAACAACCTAATTTCTTTGATAAACAACGTGCACATTATGCACACAAGAACAATAGCATTTAAGGTTTTGTTGAAGAATCCAGACACGATCATTCACACCGAGTGATACTACACATCAAGATTGATTTTATGTTTTTTTTGGTAGGAACTAACTTTAGTAAGAAATCTATATTCCATTTAATTTCCAACAGTCATGTATACATGTATATATTAAAATCTAAGATCCACCAACTATGTTACAGGTAATGATTCCAGTTAGTCGGCTCAGGTTCGACAAGTGCAATGGAGCTGAAGGTCAAGTATAGAAATTAATGAGCCACACCTTCAAATATTTGTCTATAGTTAACCAAATTCAAAAAAAATTGTACATGTTTAATATACAATGTCTTCAGTGAACCATAGTTGATTTTTCTTATTGTCAATTTTATAACCTATAATTAGACTATGTAACTACGTCCTAATAAAGGTTCATATATCAACTTAACAAATTCTTCTGGGTTCCATAAAATGAATTGCAAACGTCTAGATTTAATAGTTACTAGAATTAGTCGAAAGTTACAGTATGTATGTTAAACACGAATTCAGCCATACGCTTGCAAATAACAACCTTACTTATGAATAAAAAAAATCAGAAATGAGAATAAACAAAAAATGACTCTATAAAACATAATTTATTGAATGCCTATATTATTTTAGTGGCACTCGTATATAATACCTTTAATCTTTAAACCCTGGGATCATAACAACGATCAGTGATAATAGTGACTTTGTTTCATGTATCTTGATGTATCATAAACAAGTACTATCATATAGTTTTTGTTTCGATAAAGTTTTCTCATCTGTTAATGTTTTAGAAAAGTCCATCTTGCAAATAAAGTCAAAACGACTAAATTTTAAAAAAATCAAGCGAATTGTTGTCCACTTACCTGGATAAAGGTTTACCTGAACTAGCTAGAGTAGTGAATGAAACTTCAAACAATTGATCCATACCATTGATATGTTCAACAAAATAACGATATTTTGCGGCGAAAATAGCTAAAACAAATTGTAATACTAAATCATATTTAGCATGACCACGAGCAATATGATTTAATTGTTCTTCAACAGCTCTACGCATATGTGGTAGGACAAGTTCGGCATCAATTGTTTGATAACCATGAACAAGTACAATCCCTAATGGTGTAGGTTGCAGTTTTCGCCCCGAAAGAAGCTGTGTTTGATTAAGAAAGAACACACACAAACATATAGATAGGAATAGAATGAACGAGAAAACAATAATCTCGAAAGTAAAAAAAGTTATACCTCAAGAATATAAAAGATAATGAAAAATCTTCATAAAATAACTTCTACATTCATTTCTTGTAACTAAGTAAGCAACACATTCCAAGTTAATGAATACCATAAAGTGAAAAAGTTTAAAACATTGAAACTAAAACGATTGTTAGTTTATTTAATGTTTAAAAGTAGTCTACAGTAAAATTAAGTGCTTTTATATGGTTAATAATTGAGAAAGTAAATTAATAAAGCATGTTTTTTCATGAGAGTATAAGGCCTTCTATTAAAACTAGACAGCTTAGCATTGAACACTTGTTTCAAAGTGAATAAACTCTCAATTATGAATTGGATGTAGAGGATAACTTAAAATCATAGTTTCTGCTATTTCATGATAATCCCGTATTTTTCAGTCAATATAGGTTTTATATTATTAGACATTAAAACATTATCATTACTAACAAATCAGAATGAAATGCAAACTCAGAAAATTTACACTAAAAAGATTTAGTTAGTAATTTGTTGTATTTTATTTGTTAACGTTGAACGTCTAATCAATAAACAGAAAATTAGAAAGTTAAAGATTTATTCTCTATTTCATTTCCATTTGTTTAAGTAAATAAATAAATATATAATTGACTTATAATTATTTAAATAATTAAGCAGATGTCTACTTGATTAAATTTTCACATAAAAACAGTACGAATCAACATGGATAATCTTAGTGGATTAAGATAATGCTGATTTATAAGCGAAGTAAGTGACTTAAGTTTTTTTACATGAAAGCCTGAAGTTAATCCTAGTATTCAGCTAAATATATACATGATGGTTGTAGAGAATCTAGGGTTAGACCCCAGTAGCTATGTGCTATATAAGCTAAGATAATTTCATGTTGAACAATATCAAGATATATATAGTGATGAACAATTGCCATCTATATATTAGTGTGACAATTTGAACAGCGATACACTCCTGCCAGCTTCTGTAAACACAGGGAACAAGAACTCAAGTGGAAAACACCAATTTATTGTTTGATACAAAATTACAGAATATCTTGGTAAAATATAAGGAACATACATTGAATAATTCATTTGCAAAATTTCATCACCTAACCTTAACATTCAGTATGATTTTTCTGGTCCACAATTATATTTTTATTTTCGTTTCTGTTTTCTTCAAGTTGACCTTCATAGCCTTCTGCTGCCAGGTTTTCCACTTCCAATTGGTGTTACATACTACTTATATCTGTCAACATAAGTAGCATATACCACATACATACTATGACTGACTGAATGGTAGTCAGAGGTAATGAGCAATATGGTCCTAAAATGTTAACAGTGACTCAATTACCTTGCGTATTTATTAGCCTCTTAGTCTTATTGCTAAGTTCATTTCATATTATTGATCTCCTCTCTCACGGTATTGGTGAGAAAATGTAGTACCTTGAACTGATACACATCTACCCTAAGTCTCGAATTGTCTATATTAATTAATTATTAATTTTGATCCTTACTTTGGTTAGTTACCTAATCTACCTCGCAATTAATTTGCCTCTATATAAATAAATAAACAGTTTGGTTATTGTTATAAGTGTTGACATTTGCTGAGTCGAATTATCTCTATTTAGGGACACAAAAATAATACGGACATAAATACGAAGAAACAAATACATAATATCATCATTATGATAGAGAATTTACTTGAACGTAACCTCTTTGAACGATATTTTCTATATGTGTTGGGATTGATGCATCAGTTCCAATCCCATGACGTTCCATAGCGGTAATTAATTCAGCCTCAGTTAAATAGTCTGGTGGACCAGTTTGTCCTTCAACTAAACTTGGTTCTTCAAGTAAATTGAATTGATAGCCTTGATTAAGAAGTGTTATAGGCAACGATTTATCTTCTATTGCTTGCCAAGTTAATATTCGTGTAAAACCAGGGTCAACTACTTTTAATCCACTTATTGTAAACAATTCACCATCACCAACGGATACGGTCACTTGTGTTTGTTCATAACAACAATCGGGCATAATCTTCAAGGTAAATAGGGAAAAAAGAGTATCATCGTGTTGGTGATGCTAGATATCCAGAAATCACTTGGTGAACTTATTTTTGTAATTTAATTGTGGAAATTTGAATCCTTCATTTTCGTTCTAAAAGCGCCCACATAATTCACAATAACTTACAGTAAAAACATCTTAGACTACATGGAAGTAATTAATTACACAATTTACTTTTTCAAAACCGATCAAAATTTGCCAACCAAGTTATGTGAAATGCACCTACGATGTTTAGTATAAAGCTTTCAACGCTAATGAAAAAAAACTAATGTACAGTATGTAACAGTTACTAAGTAATTCAGTTCTAATAAATTTCAGTAACTGACTGAATAGCTTAGTTCGAAGAAATTTTTCACCATGGACTGATATCAATGAAGAATTAAAAAATGTCACTTTCGACTTCGGACGCAATATGTCTTCTTGGTATTCTAAAAACATACATCTACACTGATAAATGAGCATTAAAAGTTTTTTTAAAATACAAAATCACTTACAGTAGCGATAAAATGTTGTGTAATGTACTCATACAATCGATAGGCTTCATGTCCCAGTTCTTGGGAAGACGCAAAACGCATAGGAGCAATAGGAGGATGGTCACCTGCATCATGACCAGCACGAGGTGGAGTTAACCCACTTTTTAGAATTTCACGAGCTAGATCTCCCCAAACTGGATTGTTCACCTAAAATGATTAAATCGATGTAGAGAAAAACAGAGGTGGTGAATTAAAATTTTAGCATGAAATTACATGCAAAATAAAACTCATTAATTATAACTAAACTTATGTATTTCTTAGGATGGAAGCATTAGGAAGATCGTTCAGCGTGCAGATAAATATCCTATAAATCGGGTTTTAACTGGACAAACACAGGAAATGAGGGAGGAATGGAGAACTGTTTACTTAGAATTGTGGAACTCAGCAGCATGGAATGACGACTGTGTTCCAATGTTCTCTGATCTTTAATATTTGTGTGGTTAAAATTCAGTTCGTGATTCAAATTATTTATTCGTCTTAATGGTTGCGATTGCTTAAACTTATTATCTGGTTGAAGTGAGAATGATGGATAATAACTATGACCGACAACGTTCAAGATTTCTATCAATCTAAATACAGTAAAACCTATGAACTTTGTACTGTACTAATGTCATCTCATATGAGAATCTAAAATTTCAAGAAAAGTAGGAAAGTACTGTAACAGGCAATTATAATCTCCTTTTTGGAAACTTTCCCAGTTTCCTGCAAATAAGTATAGATGAGTCTCACTTCACCTACTTTAGTTTTGGCAGCCATCAAACAAGAACAAAATGTAATGTAATACTGAGTTTGGAAGTTTTCACCTAGTAACTAGGTTACATTAATTGGGCTAGGGTGTAAAATAATTATGATTACTATATTAATCTTACATGATCAGTTTGTGACAATGAAGAATACTTTAATGATAGACGTTGAATTTGAGACAGGCTGGAATATTGTTACAATAAACATACCCAAAAAACATCAAGTGAAAACTCAATCTTAAAACTATAATAATTGGTTAGTTGATCAAATATAGTAAAGTAAAAGAGTTAGTCACTGAAGCTACTGCTCCGAATCATGTTGAGGTTCACATCGAACTTGAATTTATTCACAATTCCAATTCTTTAAAAGCTAAAATGTCTCAAATGATTGTTTGCATATATACTCAATTTTAGATAACATATTTCCAAGAGTAATAAACGTAAGAAAACTATCTTGGTGGCTTTTTTGAAGAATACTAACAAAACGTATCATACCTGCTGCTGTAGTAATCCACGTAAATCAAATGTGTTTGGATAAGCTGTTGTCTCAGTACGTGGATAGTTTATGTAACCAGATGTATACAATCGTTCCGCAATAGCCATTGCACTATGTGGTCCAATACCTAAACCAGCACTGGCAACTCGTAACATTTCTACTGTATTCAAACCTTGTGGACGTGGTTTAATTTTCTGTTTGACAGATACCTGGACGACTCTAAAATAGAGTTAAGTTTACAAATCTTAAAAGGCAGTAAAATAAACGCATATGCATGACGTATGACCGTTTAAGTACAATTATTTGAATAAAATATACGTTAAAACAATTCGATTCATGAGAAAATGAGAAATAAATACTTTTCTGCATATGAAAAGCCGTCCCTACGCTTATTCATTTAATCGCAAACAAACGTTTCTGAAATGAGTTCTAAACCAACTTTCTTAAAGTCGTAACAAAGCAATTTACAGACAACCATTTTTCGGTCACAATACCAACTTTTAAAAAAAATCAATTTAAATCACTGATCTTTAGATCTTTAAAATTTCAGTAATTTCGACTACGTAAACGTACTGAGCCTATAGCTTTATGAAAGAACTTGAGCATATATATGGCATAAAACTACGTGATAATATATGGAAATTTTGTGTCAGGAATATTTACCGTTTATCATAACTCTCATAATGAAACTGAAGCATCAAGACTTAAAAAAAACTATTTGATGGTTTATTATCATTTTCTGTTTAAAGTTATAAAATCACAGAAATTAATTATAAAACAAAAAAATTGATTAGGACCAAGATAATTTTAAGTTTTTTTATTGTTTCAGACATTTTCATACATATGTGTTCATGATCAAAAATTATTCCAGAATACTCAAAATTCACGTTAAGCATATAAGCCTTTACCATTGCAACGAGCGTACTGAAGCATTATAAATGCATATTTCTGTGCAGTTTTTTAAATAGAAAGAAACAGTTTTGAAGAAACATACATATTCAAATAGTTATTAGACTGGTAACAACGTGAAGTGACAACTACAGTCGAATTCGTGTACTTGATACACTTGATTAATTATTTTATTACTGATTATGAAGAAAAGGAACAACGCAATAACCAAGTTACCTAACCAATTATCATATATATCAGTTTACTACTTTCATTGTGAATCTTTCACATCATAGCTATTTTCTTACAAACAAAACGTTTTGGTTTCGTTGACTTACTCTGCTGTTTTGGAAGACTTGACTCGACCTAAAAATACTGAAGCAGCTTCTTTATCAAAGATACGATCACGATTCCATGACATTTCTAATACACCCCCTGTATCATCTACACCTGAGACCTATGATCGAAAGAAAGCACATTATTATTATTAACAAAAATGAATCGGAGGTGAGAAACTAAAAATGATTTTATTAAGACAGGATAAATCTTCAGATACTTGATTTAGTACAACATATATGAGCAAACAAAATTGTTTTAAATTAGATTGTTATCAGGACCTACTTTAATGTGTAATAATATTTGTATGTATATTCGGGGTTCGCGTAATTAGTGGAGCAGGTAAATTCACCTTTTATCTTCCCTTAGATCCCAAGTTTCTGAATTCCTCATAGGTTCTATTATTATTGCACTAATTTATTTTTATCTCGACTTGTAACTTGGATCAATAATCTTTTCTATTACTATTATTACTATTACCATCTCTACTATTCTGGGATTAGTTCTGATAATTTTATCGAGCTATGCCAATGGGGTATGGCAACTTGAACCAATGTACACATGTCCCAGGTTCTACGAAGTGTATGACTGACTGACGTATGAAAATATCAAACTAATCAAGACAGTTTATGAACCTATGATAACAACGAAAGTGATAATATAAATAAACCTAATGACAGGTGTACTACTAATGATAACAAGAATAAAGGTTCGAATCATTTAATCAAAACTGAAATTTGATATCTATGACTTGCATAAACTGACAACCTATAGAAAGGTGATAAACATGACTTAATGTGAAGTCATACAATACCACCTTTGAAACTCATCTAATATCAGTATTGATAACGCGACATAATAGCACAAACCTTGATAGTTACAAAACTTTTAATGAATCCATGACCCAATACCCGGAAAATAAATTGGTAAAACTATTATTAATAGGATGTATCTCACCTTATTCTTAATCAGTGGAAGATGTAAATTTAAATGATCAGATAAGTGGCCGAAGAAAATACAATTTTTCTAATGTTAAAGTAATGTGACCAACACTAAGTCAATAGCTCAAGTAGTTATGCAATCAAATGAAAAATACACATTAGTATCCAAAATATAAACAAAGGGAACTATAAATGACATATTAATACTTAGTGTAAATAGGAAGACAAAGGTTCAAATCACTAATGAACGCAATATAGAATTACTGTTTATTTACTGCACATAGTTTGTAAGTTATACAGATAAAGATATAGAATAAGTAAGTAAACCCAAGTCTCGAAACGGAATAAATAGTGAGACCGATTATCAACTAGTCCTAGAGAAAATATATGACAGAATTTAAAATTTTCTGCCACATTATAAAAGTTGGCTAAACATTCATGGTTATAAACTATGAACACAACGTTTTTAGTTACCTTTATCCGCCAAAATGTTTCTGGTTTAAATGATTGGATTTGATCGTGTCGTTTTACACAAAATCCAAGTGTAGGTGTTTGACAAGGTCCAAACGACACAAGATTGCTGTTTAGATCACCATACTTCCCCTTAAACAGAATGAAACTTTTATTCCAAGAGAATGCATACAAAAACCAATAAACAAATGAAAGCAAGATATATGAGTAGATGGTTAACAAAAACTACTTAGTGAAAAACAAACAAATATAAAATGCTAGCAATAACGGTCTAAATTTTACCGTAAAATCTTCAATTTCATTCTATCACTACCACGATAAATGAGACTAATAAGCCAGAATTAGTGATAATTAACTAGTAAACTTGTGATGCAGTCAAATTACAACGATTCGTCTAGCCATACAGTACACACTATTATTTATCAATTACATTTATTTAAGAACAACATTGGGCAGCGAATATAAAATACGCCACTTAAAGCGTGTTAATAACAGTGACGAGAGAAAAGAAAAATAGTTAAAATAATTGAACAAAAATAGTATATGATAGAAAATACAGTTAAGCTAACAATACAAACAAAAAAATCCTCCCACTTAAGTGATTTCTTTTCATTATTTTACGAATTTAAAGGAGGATTACAACAGGATCGTCATTCTTTGGCTTCTGTCCCAGGCATTGACTGATAATATTCTAAGTCACTAGGTTGCACTGCCTATCAGACCCCAATCAAGATTTACGATGGATAGACAGACGCCAACCTGACATAGCTTCCTTTCATACCGCAGCACCATGCCATAAACTGACCATCTCGCTTTTTCCAACTAGTTCCAGAGTCGGCAAATAATGGATGATGTGGAAGTCTTTAGGATGACATTCGTGCCGTGTGACTAAGCTACTGAAATCGACATTTCAAGGTGGTGACGCCAACTGAGTGGTTGTCACCGTGCTCCAGGGCTTTGCCGAACCTAAAAAATACTAACAAATGTTGTCGGAAAACGTCATCAATTCTTATGAGGAAAAGAAGACCGACGCCAAACATTCTCAATTTAGAGAGGCCAGATTTCACAAACATAGAGTAGATTCTCTCTCCCTCACTGAATCGCTGTAAACCCGATCTTTTACAGACAGACTAAAAACGCGACTGCATCAAAGACAACCTGGGTTCCCATAAGCCACTCTGGTTTTTACTACCACTCATACAATCACCAGCACTCACACGCCTAGCTAGGTACACAAACATTTAGCTTAATTATGACGCAATATCGCCGGGAGTGATTGTAGGCACAGGGCTTCTGCCAGTCTTATGAAAGTGCTTTGCACTTAGAAGGCGCAAAGCAAATAGCATACCAATTGACATCGATTACAAGATGTAGTAAGGATAACACATATCGTCATAAAGTAATACAATATCATTCGAATACTCAAGATCGAAAGGTGTTTTTCTAGGTAACACATTCAGACCATGATTATCAACTTCCTAGTTCCATCAAAGCTGTTTTTAGAATATCATTGATGGCAAAGTTGGGGAGGAATGATGAAACTCCACTTATGGAGTGAAACAAAGGGGGAGGTGGTTATATGTATTCATTCTGCCTAAGATGTTTGTATAAAGACCATACAAGATGTCAATGAACTTCTCAGGAGCACCCCTTCTTGACGGACAAGATTAGAATACATTCCTATCCAACGAATTGAAGGTATTCCTGATATCAAAAAGCATAAAGATTGTTCACCTGAAATAAGGATGAAGGTGCTCTAACATTTGTGAAGGGTGAAGATGAGGTCGATGCATCCACGATCACACAAAAAACAGCCTGCTTTTCATCAGTCAATCTTTTATGGGATTTGGACAGTCTGTGAAGTATGATGAGAGCCAATAAGTCGAACGTGATAGACTATATCTGTTGCCGAAAGTTACTGCACTGATGACATAGACCTTTTTTATAGATGTTGACGACTATCACCTCATTCCAAAGTGCTGAAATGAACTCTATTTACAAAGCCTTGCCAAACAACTCAATCTAATGATCAAAGTTTGACGTCACCCTTGAAAAGAGTAGGAGACAATTTACCCGGGCGAAGTGACTTGTGCAGCTTTAAAAGATAGAGTTCTTTTAGAACTACCCCCTTGTCAAGTGGATAGGTTGTCAACGGCTAGGGAGTGTAGGACAGTCTGGTCTATGTTGCTGGGGAAACAGGTCAACTGATCTGCACATAGAAAAACCCTTGGATGCTATTGAATAGCGTCCCATCAATTTTTCCGATTGTTTCACTCACAAGGTCCCTGTAGAAACCCATAGCTTACATAAGTGGGACGTTTAGCGACGCCACAAGCGACTTTAACAGCCATTTCCAAGACCTTATGCAAGCGCAGCCAGTTTCCATCTGTAATTTTTGGTGGGATAATAGCTATCTTTGAATCTAGCTCAGTTTGATATTTCGCTGCGACGAAAGTTGGAGCCGATTTACTTATAACAATCTGTTTAAGAAGATGAATTGATTCAGCCGGTGGGAAGAAAGATAAGGATGGCAAAAATGAGGGCATGATATCACCATTTAAGGTCATACCATGCCAAACAGGTCATTTTAAAAGCGTTAAAACCAAAATTAGTAAGATAAAGATCCGATAGGGAAGTCATAATACAAACTACACTAGGGAGTAGTGGTAATAAGCTGTTTCTCACAGGAAATTAGTATCTCCAGTCACACAGTCTTCCCACGAAAGAATTTAAAAATGAAGGGCTACAGAATTTAAGATATACTTTCTAGCCTAACGGAGTATCGATAAGGGTATCATTAAGCAGTCTCAAGGGATTATGTATTTATTTCCATGGATGTAGTAGTGATACTTAAAGTTTTGAGGAAATAGACGCTAATTATAATATTCGGGCTTGTATTTCAATTAAAATACTTATTACTACATTATTCGCAATCAGAATAGTCTGTTTAGAGACACGTTTATGAACAGTTATACGTATTTAGATAAAAAGCTAAATAACCTAAAAAAATCTCGTCGGAAAGGGAATACAAACGTTACCATAATTATGATTTTATAAACTATTTTAATAATTATGGGAAGACATTGCTTCAATTCTGAAAACTCACCTGAAAAAATTTCGTTTGGAACCTAGTGAACGCACAACCGATTCGAAGATCAAGTTCTTGCCTAGCATCTACTGACAATGCTTCGTGTTTATTAGGTTCTCTAAGATTTTTCATAGCACCATGTAGTTCTTGGTCAGTAACAGCACTGAAATGTGCACGTAGAATTCTTTTCTAAACGTAAAATCACGGTTAGACAGACTAATCATAAAATAAAAAGTTTATGAAATGAGACGAATAAGTATTTTCACTTTAAGCTAGGATTAAGGACAATGCGCTCTCAAAATATGGGATTAAAAGAAACCAATATGTTCAGTATAATTGAGCGGTTGGAATCAAGTTTCTTTATAAACTGACGCTTACATGACAATTCATTTACGAGAACTAATATTTTCCAATAATAACCGCTGGTATGAAAATTACGTAAAAGCGGAAACGCAAAACAGAACGCAGAAGCTACTACTACTACATTGTAAATTTGAAACATATACAGTAAATCAGGTGCTAATGAAGTGGAAAACTGAATGACAAATGAGCCTCCAGTTGATATTTTAATAGTTATAGTGAGCCGAAATAAACTATGACTATTCACCAAGCAACTGCTAATCTCCGAACATTAAAGCACTTTTGAACAAGGTGACGGAAGTGCAAACTTATAAACGAAGAAAGAAAACCATCATATGTGATAACTTAATAGAAACAGATTACACCTGTCAATCAGTTAATAGAAAAGATCGGGAATGTTAATAAAAAGCTGTCACAATATTACAATAATGTGTTCGAGATACTTAATAATTATGGTCTGCACTAGTGTTCGATGACACACCTCAATTGGTCATTATAATTCTTAAACGGTTAAAGCTGTACACAGTTGCATAGTCGAAAATAAGTGAAAAGTTATTAATGTTCTAGAACTATCAACTCTTTTAAAACTTTAACTCTCAACTTATACATAACGTACTCGTTATTGAATGACAATTCATCTTTTAATATAATGCTGATAACTGGGAATAATTAAACTCATTAACTCATATGAAGCTGAAGGAAAAGCAAAGAATTACAGTGAATTTAATGTATTCATCAAAAGTTGTCGCTTTTCCTTTGTTTAAGTTTATGAAAGAAACTGACTGTATGAAAATTCTTAATGGTAACAAATAAAAAATAGTAACGCATTGAGAAGTAAATAAACATGATATATAAGCAACTCACGGGGTGTACCATAACTGAATGAACACAATTGATAACTTCAAAACAGATATTTTCACCCTCTTTGTCACAATCCAGCCAAAGAATTAATATACCAGCATTTTTCGCCTAAACAATAGTACTGTCAAAGATATAAAAAACCTCGTGGCGAAGAAAATCCACCATTTTCAATTTGGGGTTAGCTTCCTTTTTCTCAATCGGGGCAACAAACAGCTCAGCCTGAATTTGAGAGACTAGTAAAATCAACTTACAGGATCTACTTTATCCCAACTATTATAACGACTTAAGAAATCGACATTCATTACGTGACCACACACTGACGTCATTTTAAAGCGAACTTGTTCACTCATAAATTGACCAGTCCATTCATGAATAGAACATGCTCCATTGAATCCACGTCGACTTGAATTACGCTTATTAGATAAGGATTTCGCTATTGATTCAGCTAGTGATGGTTTCTCAGCAACCATGAATACAGTCTGCATGGTACCTCCTGGAAAGAACAGTAAATTAAAGTCACTCAGCCATACGTAACGTGCAATCTGGCACCCATGTACACAGTTTAGGTTACACCATCCCATTAGTACACAGAGATGAAACTGTTAGGACAAATCCTAGAATAGTATAGGTAGTGTTATCATTATTTATTTATTTTAACACATAGATATTGGTACAAGGAGGCACCAAATACATACGCGCCAAACAAATCTCATTTGATTTGTGTGAGGGCTGTGATACTGCCCGGGTGCCCAAACCGAAGCGGGTGGTTTTCCTAGAGGGCCACACCTCGAGCCTTCGACCTAAAGGTCTGATCCACAAGGCAGTGGAGCATCGTAAGGAGATGCAGTCCCATGGTAGCCGGTGACCAACAATTGGTTCATACGCCGTTTGTTCCCTCAGGATACTGGAGCACATGTGCACCATTGGTCTGGAATCCGGCTAAAGCGCCGGACATCCGCTTTTCGTCTTTTTTTCGTAAACAACAGTAATGCCACGAGAAGGCAGTGAGAAGGACTTCCCTGGCAGAGGCTGTATACGCGTGGCCATGTGAAAGAATTTCGAGAGGGAAAGAGGACTTTCCTCACTCTCGGCCGTACTAGGGCATCATTAGTGATGAAGTAAAGGGTTAGGCAACCAGAATACAATCCAAGAAAAAAATTTCAAATTGGTGGAACAGAAAATTATAAGGACTTCAGAAGCTTAGAATTTGAAGGAAGAGAAATAATGGATGAACCTGCACCATTGCAAATGATTTCGAATCGTCTCCAAGCAACAGATCCACACGCGTAGTTATGGTATGTATACATTCTCGATCAGTGCTGAGCAGAGCAACTGGTCAGTCTTGAAAACTAGACTGGCTAGCTCACGAAAATGGGAAATACCCGTTTATAACTACAGACTTGATTACACAACGGATTCAGAGCCCTTAATATAATTAAATTTTCGCTGTTTAGCATGATTTTGAACACTTGCTAAAACCTAAGTTCCGTAGACCCGTAAATTAACATACATACGTACATTAACACAATACTTCTTTTAAGTTCCGTGTCGAATTCTAAAAAGTTCTAACCGTCAGTGTATTTCTGAATTCTAATATCCCGAACCCACATCTTACCCCCCAAGCTCCCAACTTTGGGGAAATTTCGGGGTTTTTGAGCCATTTCGCCAAAGCCTCCCCAAAATGGGACAAATTTTCCCCAAAATTGGGAGCTCTGGTTTATCCGTTTTGAGGAGGCCGCTATAGAAAATCTTGGGGAAATGACACAAAAACCCTAAAATGTTTCGATTTTACCCAATATTTCCCTAGAACTCTCTATACGCGTGTATAGAGAAAACTATGCACCAAATATTACGAGGACGAGATTTTTATTCAGTTTCAGTTTGGGAAGGACAGGAGGCTTGATGGCCTGTGTTAGTCCTGACAATGCTGGTCTCTCAGTTGATCCAACTTTCTTTTGAAAGAGTCGACGGATGGAGCCTCAACCACGTGCTGAGGTAATGAATTCCACTCGTTGATGATTCGATGGGAAAGGCGATAGTCAGATGACAAGTAATTTGTTCTGGGCTTGTGAACATTTCTGGAGTGTCCTCGTAAATTCTCTGTTTTGGGAGACAAGAAAAATGAGGGCATATCAGGTGCAAATTTATCACTAAGCAATTTGAAAACTGTAATCAAGTCGCCTCTAGTTCTACGATATGACAACGAGAAAAGGTTTAGCTTGGCCAGTCGAGCATCGTACGGAAGCTTCGTTATTCCGTGAATCAGTTTAGTTGCTTTTCTCTTAACCTTTTCCAGAAGCTCACTGTTTGAAGCTATCACCCTTACTCCGTATCGTTCTCTATATCTTGACATCGTCAGCATATAGCAAGACCGATGATGATAGGAGACGAGGAAGGTCATTTACATACGAGAGGAATAGCACTGGCCCAAAACTGTACCCTGGGGCACTCCACTAAGCACAGTTCCCCAGCTAGATAACTTTGAGTTCACCCGTACTCTTTGTTGACGCCCAACTAAGAAGTCTTTTATTCACATTAATAGATCGCCTCCAATCCCGACATTTCTTAACTTATATAACAGCCGGTTGTGCGGAACTTTGTCAAAAGCTTTGCTGAAATCAATGAAGGCTACGTCTACAGGTAACGTTTGGTCCTTAGGAGTGCACCAACTTTCACGAGTCACTAATGAGTTAGTGAGACAAGAGTAACCTATTCTGAAACCGTGCTGCTTCTCCGAAAGGATCTGGTTTTCATCGAGGTACTTAAACAGCTCCTTCCAAATAATCTTTTCTAAGATTTTAACAACCACACTAGTTAGGCTAACGTGGCGGTAGTTCTCAGGTTTGTGTTTCGTACCTGTTTCGAAGAAGGACTTACTGTGGCGTTTTTCCAGTCTTTTGGTAAACGACCCTGCGTTACGGACAGGTTAAAGCATATACTTAAAGGGTTCGCAACGAAGTTAGATAATTCCTTCAGTAGCCTAGGATGAAATTCATCGGGCCCCGTGGATTTACCTATGTCAAGCTTATTTAGTAGACCAAAGACATCGAGTTCTTTAATGGTCACGCTATCCAGTGTATGTGTGGGGGGATCTGTACGCACTAACGGGAAGGGTGCTTCTATGATACAGTGAAAGCAAACTCTGGAATTTATGACCAGTCTGGAAATGGCATGATTACACTTACAAGTTTAATTACATTTAGTCACAACTGCTAGTGTAACGGACAACTCAAGAAGCGCACCACTTATAACCTTTGTTCTTCAATTAGCAATTTCCAGATGAAAGAATTGTAAGTTGATGGACTTTATAATTCCATTCAACATGTACCTCACTCGTAGTTCAACGACTCTCAAGGTTCATATAAATAACCTCCAAATATTAATTGATCATCCACTCTACAAATGGTTCAAATGGTTGTGGACGGAATAGAAGAAGCTTTCGCTTAACAGGCTTCCGTGTCTAGTAGCAGGGGATCACCAAATCCTCCAGGCAGGAACCTAGGTATGTTAACAATAAAAGAGGAAAAGAAATTGGTAAATCATAGTGCGATGCTGTCCTTGGTCCTTAAGAATAGGTCAAGTTGCCTCTTGAAGGACTCCTGAGAAGTCGCTTGGACTAGCTCGGCCGGCAGCGAGTTTCAGCATTTGACAACTCTTAAGGAGTAGAAGTTGTGTCTACATTCCGTCTTGCTATGTTGTGTTTCCAGTTTCTGGGTGTTACCCCTTAGGTTATTGTTCGAACTAAGCTTAAGTAGGTGTTTAAGAGGATGTCCAGAAGTGTTAAGAATACTATAAGCCATTAATAAATCACCTCTAAGACGCCTATATTCTAGTGAGTAAAGGTCTAGTGAACGGAGGCGTTCTTCGTAAGGCTTAGATTTGAGTCCTCGAACTGATTTCGTGACTCGCCGTTGGATACGCTCCAAAGTGACCTTATCCTTTTGGAGTGAGGGGGGGAGTACTATGTTTCCGTACTCTAAATGGGGACGGATGAAACTATTGAAGATTGTGTGGAAAGTTCTTCCGTCAAACTGACCAAAAATGCGCCTCAACGTTACCAGTGCAAGGTTTGCTCGGAAGGCATTTTTGTCACAGTTAGCGTAAGACTTTAAGTCATGGGGCACCAGGACTCTTAAATCTTTTTCGACTTGGGATACTACTAGAGAGGTGTTTCCTAAGTTGTAACTGTAGTTTGCGACATGTCGCAGATGGACTACTTTACACTTAGAAGTGTTAAAGGTAAGTCCGTTATCGTCTGCCCAACTTTGAAGTCAAGTCAGATCCTCTTGAAGTGCCTGTATATCGTCTTGGTTGCGGATCTCTCTCCAAAGTTTCACGTCGTCGGCAAAAAGTAATAAGTCTGACGTTACCTGTTGAGGAAGATCATTTATGTAGATCAAGAAGAGAAGAGGCCCTAGTACTGAGCCCTGGGGGACCCCACTAGGACATTCCATAGCTTGAGATAAAGTGAAATTGACCCTAACCTTAAAGTGTCGATTTTTTAGGTATGAAGTAAGCCAGTCGATTAGAGGTGGTTTGATACCTAGTCGTTTGAGCTTGTTGATAAGACACAAGTGGTTAACCTTATCAAAAGCTTTTGAGAAATCAAGGTAAATGACATCAACCTTTCCCTTGCGATCGAGGATGCTTGTCCATCTGTCCACCGCAGTCAGCAGGTTGGTTATACAAGAGTAACCCTTCCTGAAACCATGCTGTTGGGGTGAGAAGAAATTTAAGGACAGTAGGTAGTCATTTAAACCGTCGCATATCAGGGACTCCATGAGTTTTGAAGGTAACGACAGAAGAGCTACCGGCCGGTAACTTGAAGGTTCATTGCGTCGACCACCTTTGAAAATTGGTGTGATGTGAGCCAACTTCCAATTTTCCGGTAGTTTGCCTCGGCTAAGCGAGTGTGAAAACATCACGCTAAGCGGCGTTGCCAGGATTGAGGCTGCCTCCCTCAGTATGGCAGGATGAACCATGTCCGGGCCAGGAGAAGTGTCAAGTCTTAAGTGCTGCAGTTTCCGGAACACCAAGTCAGCGCTTAGGTCCACTTCAGAAAGTCCTGTGGAATTGCAGATGAAACTGTCGTCAATAAAGTTGATATCAGCCGGTTGAAATGTTTGAGAGTAATGGGCCGCCAGAAGGTTAGCGGCGTCGCCATCGTTGTTGGTCGGGCCGTTAGGACCTAGCAGTTGAGAAACTCCTGTTTTGGCTTGACGAAGAGAGGCTGCATAACGGAATAGGCTTCTAGGGTTAGAGGCGAATTTGTCCATAAGCTTTGTTTGGTACTGAAGCCTGTCTTCTCTTATAGCCTTCGTGCATGTGTTCCTGATATGTTTGTATTGCCTATACGCTCCATCGTTATTAGTTCGTTTGTATTCCGCCCAACAGGACTTTAGATTTTCTTTTGACTTGTCTAAAGGCTTTATAAGTTTATTGCACTTATAGGGGTAGTTAACGTAGACTTATTTCATGATAACTTTGTCATTATTTTTGGAATTTTCATATTTTTGTCCACCACTCTCACGTTTATTTTTTCTTAGTGACTTCGAGAGTCATTTTTCAAAGGCTTCCTCTGAATTATCTCAAATATCTGAAGCCACAATAACTTTAGAGATTGCCATTTTGGAATTCAGACTTTCAGTATGCGGAGCAAACAACTTAAAAATCTGATATGCCCGGGTAGAAGCCTTGTTTTGGTCTCTATGACTCCAGTGGTTTGTTGGAATGGAATCTCAGGAACTACGTACTCTCAACTAGAGCCCCTAAGTGTTGATCCGTCCGAGAACTGTTTTCCATACTCAATTTCAGTGTTTTGGAAGTTAACCCATATCACTGAAACAAAAGCTGGAAGGACGGATGAAATGCATTACAACTTCAAATTCCATTTCTACTAACATAACTTTGGCTCCCTAATCTTCCTTCACAAACCCCAAAAAACCCTTATTTAGTGTCTACTGGAAATAAAGAACAATCAGAGGTTCCCATCAATAAGATCGTGCAAGTGACAATTGAAGTTGCTGATAGGGTGTCAATCATGATGACTGCACTTGTGGAGGCCGTAGTTTGATTTTGTCCCCATCTAGATCGACGATATTCGTTGGAGGGATCACCACTTTTGTGGCCGTTGATCTGACTCCATTTTATGATTGTATGCTTGTTTGCTATCGCTGATTCTCGTATATAATCGTCGACTTAAATCGCGTTATCCAATAACGGAATTAAATAAGTCGAATAACGAGAATTGACTTGAGAATACATATATTTCGTACATGAAGCGAATGAAGCATAGCAAAGCAAAAATAACACGTATGGAAGATGACTGGGAAGCCAACTCCATCTTTGTCAAGCGTTACTCAATAATTATAAACAGACAAAATAAAGCTACAGGCATGTGATTAATAGGATAAGAAGGGCACACACATATACGCTCATATAAAAACAGTCTAGATTGATAAGCGAATAATTGACAAGGTCAAAATATGGCTCAAGTAAAATGAATAGAATGGGATGTCCGAAAGCTCGAATAAGGTATATGGGCTTGGCATAATAACAAACACTACACACTCTATACCATTAAACACCCATTCTCTAGTCGAAAAGATTCACGACAAAATCCTCACATGTTAGATCGAATGTCATGAAATTGAATTTGAAGTTATTCTAAGTGAGGTACCGTTACTAACTGAAAGAACTTCATGTCTCTGCCGTAATTTGAAGAACTGTCCAACCATTAAAAATCATCTTTAACATGCTTCATTGACGTAGGAATAAGTGCACCTATAACTCAGTCATCAACCGCTCGCTTAATAAAATGTCCAGCGGTCGCTGGTCTCTCAGTTGATCCAACTTTCTTTTGAAAGAGTCGACGGATGGAGCCTCAACCACGTGCTGAGGTAATGAATTCCACTCGTTGATGATTCGATGGGAAAGGCGATAGTCAGATGACAAGTAATTTGTTCTGGGCTTGTGAACATTTCTGGAGTGTCCTCGTAAATTCTCTGTTTTGGGAGACAAGAAAAATGAGGGCATATCAGGTGCAAATTTATCACTAAGCAATTTGAAAACTGTAATCAAGTCGCCTCTAGTTCTACGATATGACAACGAGAAAAGGTTTAGCTTGGCCAGTCGAGCATCGTACGGAAGCTTCGTTATTCCGTGAATCAGTTTAGTTGCTTTTCTCTTAACCTTTTCCAGAAGCTCACTGTTTGAAGCTATCACCCTTACTCCGTATCGTTCTCTATATCTTGACATCGTCAGCATATAGCAAGACCGATGATGATAGGAGACGAGGAAGGTCATTTACATACGAGAGGAATAGCACTGGCCCAAAACTGTACCCTGGGGCACTCCACTAAGCACAGTTCCCCAGCTAGATAACTTTGAGTTCACCCGTACTCTTTGTTGACGCCCAACTAAGAAGTCTTTTATTCACATTAATAGATCGCCTCCAATCCCGACATTTCTTAACTTATATAACAGCCGGTTGTGCGGAACTTTGTCAAAAGCTTTGCTGAAATCAATGAAGGCTACGTCTACAGGTAACGTTTGGTCCTTAGGAGTGCACCAACTTTCACGAGTCACTAATGAGTTAGTGAGACAAGAGTAACCTATTCTGAAACCGTGCTGCTTCTCCGAAAGGATCTGGTTTTCATCGAGGTACTTAAACAGCTCCTTCCAAATAATCTTTTCTAAGATTTTAACAACCACACTAGTTAGGCTAACGTGGCGGTAGTTCTCAGGTTTGTGTTTCGTACCTGTTTCGAAGAAGGACTTACTGTGGCGTTTTTCCAGTCTTTTGGTAAACGACCCTGCGTTACGGACAGGTTAAAGCATATACTTAAAGGGTTCGCAACGAAGTTAGATAATTCCTTCAGTAGCCTAGGATGAAATTCATCGGGCCCCGTGGATTTACCTATGTCAAGCTTATTTAGTAGACCAAAGACATCGAGTTCTTTAATGGTCACGCTATCCAGTGTATGTGTGGGGGGATCTGTACGCACTAACGGGAAGGGTGCTTCTATGATACAGTGAAAGCAAACTCTGGAATTTATGACCAGTCTGGAAATGGCATGATTACACTTACAAGTTTAATTACATTTAGTCACAACTGCTAGTGTAACGGACAACTCAAGAAGCGCACCACTTATAACCTTTGTTCTTCAATTAGCAATTTCCAGATGAAAGAATTGTAAGTTGATGGACTTTATAATTCCATTCAACATGTACCTCACTCGTAGTTCAACGACTCTCAAGGTTCATATAAATAACCTCCAAATATTAATTGATCATCCACTCTACAAATGGTTCAAATGGTTGTGGACGGAATAGAAGAAGCTTTCGCTTAACAGGCTTCCGTGTCTAGTAGCAGGGGATCACCAAATCCTCCAGGCAGGAACCTAGGTATGTTAACAATAAAAGAGGAAAAGAAATTGGTAAATCATAGTGCGATGCTGTCCTTGGTCCTTAAGAATAGGTCAAGTTGCCTCTTGAAGGACTCCTGAGAAGTCGCTTGGACTAGCTCGGCCGGCAGCGAGTTTCAGCATTTGACAACTCTTAAGGAGTAGAAGTTGTGTCTACATTCCGTCTTGCTATGTTGTGTTTCCAGTTTCTGGGTGTTACCCCTTAGGTTATTGTTCGAACTAAGCTTAAGTAGGTGTTTAAGAGGATGTCCAGAAGTGTTAAGAATACTATAAGCCATTAATAAATCACCTCTAAGACGCCTATATTCTAGTGAGTAAAGGTCTAGTGAACGGAGGCGTTCTTCGTAAGGCTTAGATTTGAGTCCTCGAACTGATTTCGTGACTCGCCGTTGGATACGCTCCAAAGTGACCTTATCCTTTTGGAGTGAGGGGGGGAGTACTATGTTTCCGTACTCTAAATGGGGACGGATGAAACTATTGAAGATTGTGTGGAAAGTTCTTCCGTCAAACTGACCAAAAATGCGCCTCAACGTTACCAGTGCAAGGTTTGCTCGGAAGGCATTTTTGTCACAGTTAGCGTAAGACTTTAAGTCATGGGGCACCAGGACTCTTAAATCTTTTTCGACTTGGGATACTACTAGAGAGGTGTTTCCTAAGTTGTAACTGTAGTTTGCGACATGTCGCAGATGGACTACTTTACACTTAGAAGTGTTAAAGGTAAGTCCGTTATCGTCTGCCCAACTTTGAAGTCAAGTCAGATCCTCTTGAAGTGCCTGTATATCGTCTTGGTTGCGGATCTCTCTCCAAAGTTTCACGTCGTCGGCAAAAAGTAATAAGTCTGACGTTACCTGTTGAGGAAGATCATTTATGTAGATCAAGAAGAGAAGAGGCCCTAGTACTGAGCCCTGGGGGACCCCACTAGGACATTCCATAGCTTGAGATAAAGTGAAATTGACCCTAACCTTAAAGTGTCGATTTTTTAGGTATGAAGTAAGCCAGTCGATTAGAGGTGGTTTGATACCTAGTCGTTTGAGCTTGTTGATAAGACACAAGTGGTTAACCTTATCAAAAGCTTTTGAGAAATCAAGGTAAATGACATCAACCTTTCCCTTGCGATCGAGGATGCTTGTCCATCTGTCCACCGCAGTCAGCAGGTTGGTTATACAAGAGTAACCCTTCCTGAAACCATGCTGTTGGGGTGAGAAGAAATTTAAGGACAGTAGGTAGTCATTTAAACCGTCGCATATCAGGGACTCCATGAGTTTTGAAGGTAACGACAGAAGAGCTACCGGCCGGTAACTTGAAGGTTCATTGCGTCGACCACCTTTGAAAATTGGTGTGATGTGAGCCAACTTCCAATTTTCCGGTAGTTTGCCTCGGCTAAGCGAGTGTGAAAACATCACGCTAAGCGGCGTTGCCAGGATTGAGGCTGCCTCCCTCAGTATGGCAGGATGAACCATGTCCGGGCCAGGAGAAGTGTCAAGTCTTAAGTGCTGCAGTTTCCGGAACACCAAGTCAGCGCTTAGGTCCACTTCAGAAAGTCCTGTGGAATTGCAGATGAAACTGTCGTCAATAAAGTTGATATCAGCCGGTTGAAATGTTTGAGAGTAATGGGCCGCCAGAAGGTTAGCGGCGTCGCCATCGTTGTTGGTCGGGCCGTTAGGACCTAGCAGTTGAGAAACTCCTGTTTTGGCTTGACGAAGAGAGGCTGCATAACGGAATAGGCTTCTAGGGTTAGAGGCGAATTTGTCCATAAGCTTTGTTTGGTACTGAAGCCTGTCTTCTCTTATAGCCTTCGTGCATGTGTTCCTGATATGTTTGTATTGCCTATACGCTCCATCGTTATTAGTTCGTTTGTATTCCGCCCAACAGGACTTTAGATTTTCTTTTGACTTGTCTAAAGGCTTTATAAGTTTATTGCACTTATAGGGGTAGTTAACGTAGACTTATTTCATGATAACTTTGTCATTATTTTTGGAATTTTCATATTTTTGTCCACCACTCTCACGTTTATTTTTTCTTAGTGACTTCGAGAGTCATTTTTCAAAGGCTTCCTCTGAATTATCTCAAATATCTGAAGCCACAATAACTTTAGAGATTGCCATTTTGGAATTCAGACTTTCAGTATGCGGAGCAAACAACTTAAAAATCTGATATGCCCGGGTAGAAGCCTTGTTTTGGTCTCTATGACTCCAGTGGTTTGTTGGAATGGAATCTCAGGAACTACGTACTCTCAACTAGAGCCCCTAAGTGTTGATCCGTCCGAGAACTGTTTTCCATACTCAATTTCAGTGTTTTGGAAGTTAACCCATATCACTGAAACAAAAGCTGGAAGGACGGATGAAATGCATTACAACTTCAAATTCCATTTCTACTAACATAACTTTGGCTCCCTAATCTTCCTTCACAAACCCCAAAAAACCCTTATTTAGTGTCTACTGGAAATAAAGAACAATCAGAGGTTCCCATCAATAAGATCGTGCAAGTGACAATTGAAGTTGCTGATAGGGTGTCAATCATGATGACTGCACTTGTGGAGGCCGTAGTTTGATTTTGTCCCCATCTAGATCGACGATATTCGTTGGAGGGATCACCACTTTTGTGGCCGTTGATCTGACTCCATTTTATGATTGTATGCTTGTTTGCTATCGCTGATTCTCGTATATAATCGTCGACTTAAATCGCGTTATCCAATAACGGAATTAAATAAGTCGAATAACGAGAATTGACTTGAGAATACATATATTTCGTACATGAAGCGAATGAAGCATAGCAAAGCAAAAATAACACGTATGGAAGATGACTGGGAAGCCAACTCCATCTTTGTCAAGCGTTACTCAATAATTATAAACAGACAAAATAAAGCTACAGGCATGTGATTAATAGGATAAGAAGGGCACACACATATACGCTCATATAAAAACAGTCTAGATTGATAAGCGAATAATTGACAAGGTCAAAATATGGCTCAAGTAAAATGAATAGAATGGGATGTCCGAAAGCTCGAATAAGGTATATGGGCTTGGCATAATAACAAACACTACACACTCTATACCATTAAACACCCATTCTCTAGTCGAAAAGATTCACGACAAAATCCTCACATGTTAGATCGAATGTCATGAAATTGAATTTGAAGTTATTCTAAGTGAGGTACCGTTACTAACTGAAAGAACTTCATGTCTCTGCCGTAATTTGAAGAACTGTCCAACCATTAAAAATCATCTTTAACATGCTTCATTGACGTAGGAATAAGTGCACCTATAACTCAGTCATCAACCGCTCGCTTAATAAAATGTCCAGCGGTCGCTGCATAATCTAGTTACAAGAACATATTAGACAAAACAAGTCGTCACTCGACCTCTGTCAATCCTTCACGTTCACCTGAAACACTGAAAAAATATCCGCGTTCATGGGAAAACACTCTTTTGATTGATTGACAGATCTGCACTGTCTTGCGTTTTATCCATTATTATTCCCCACTTTAATTAATTTCACTTATATTTGTGTAAATCCCTAATGTAAGATCACTGTTCCGATGACCTGGCTCTACTGATGTTGAACAGAGGTGGTTTAACCTCTTAAATTACGTTGAATATGTGATGGGCCGGACGATATATAAACGCAAAAATTATCAACAGAGTTAATAAAGATCAAAAGAAATGTTACTATATATAAGTTAAGTATTATAAATACAACAGAAGGTTGGGACTTTACTTAAGTTCACCAAATTGATGCGTGTTCGGCTTTGGTCTTGTACTAAGAAAGTACAATTATAAATGCTTGGTAATTCCAATCTGATTGATGAACTCTCCAGTGATATAATCTAACGTAGGATGAGGTATATTCCAATTACAGTCTATAAACGTAGATAGTACTTGATTTAGACTCCCGTTAACTCAATCATAAAATGAAGATAGAACGAGGAATGTGTGAGTAGTAGTGTATTTGTTAGCCAGCAAGAGCATGTCATGCTATGTCAGTATCACAACGGAAAGTGTGTTCAGGGTCATTTACTAAAACATCGGGTACAATTTTTTAATGATAAAATATACAGACAGTTAAAGATTGACAAAATAAATACAAATAATATTAAAAACTATTTACAAAATAAGCATGTCAGTTCTATCTCCACAAATTCATACTTTATGCTAATAGGGAGAGTGGATTGCTCTTCATGATATTCAGTTCCTGTCACTAAGTTCATGATCGAATAAGACAACACTAAAGTTATTGAGGAAGGATACTGGTTAGATTAGGCCGAAGAAACATAGAGCGACCGCTGACACACGAAATACACTATGGCCTACGGTTGACTATTCACCGTTGATTATCCTTGACGTTGTCGATGTTCGATAGGCTATCTAACGATCAGTGATCTGTTTTTTAGCGTACAGATGGTCCAGCCTAATAGATTGCAGTATCTGGAAATCGACTCAAAACAACGCATTCTGGAACAATAGTAAGATTTCCAGGACATTTGAACGATTATTGCACGTAAGACACTAGCCAGCGTTTTGCTTCTTTTCGATTTTTGTTTGAATTATTTTTGATACAAAAAACCCATTTTAATATACTTAAATTTATATATTTATTCCAAGAAATTATTTGCCCATCATGCTCGCTAATATATATTAGGAATTTTTTCGAAAGAAACAAAAAAACATTTTATAAAAATCGTTTTTACGCTATCGCAAGTGCATGGGTTTATTTTCCTTTATCTCACGCTTTGTGTCTTTAGGTGCGTACGAGTGTATTTTCAACATGCACTTACATATCCTTTTCTTGTTTTCCAGTACGGCTGGAAAAGACGAAAAAAGAACGACGAAATTTACAATGAACCGAAACTTTCGTTTCATTTTGTTTCTTTATTACTATA